TCGGTCCAGTATTAAAACAGTTACAGTGTATACAGACACAAAAAAAGCCCACATCATGATAAAACCCATAGTATCATCGAAACTAAAATAAACCATTAAACGATATTTCTTATTAAATCCTCTTATAAATATAATATAAAAGGTTTTAAGTATTTCATTCTTCGTTATATTGTTTTTGTTAAAATTATTATTTTATAAATAAATGCGAAAACCCCAGTTTGTGACTTTCGTGTGAATTTATTAACATCAAAATTAAATCCTAAAACTATTGTTGTTCAACGGTGTACCCGTTGAATTCCGAAAATATAAATCAGCCCAATTATGACAAACTATACATTTAAAATAAAAAACCCTAATATACCTCAAGCAGGGATGTTGAGAGAAACAAGACCTTTTTAAACAATCTAACCCGTCAAACCTTTTTTTGCATTTATTAAAACATTTGCTTAAAATTCTAAACATATTAAAAACTCTAATTGAGGTACTTTATAATGCAAAGGTAGACAACCATAATGTGAATACTTTTAGGTATTCTATAATTTAAACCTACTAAAAAAAATGTTTACCCAAACTACACCTATGTCAACTACTAAAATTGGGCGGTAATAAAATTGTCTATTATAATGAATTTTTTTTAAGTGTACTGAATGCTAAACAATGGTTATGCCTATATTTTAATTTAAACGCAGTGACTTACTCCATTTAAAAAATGTTGTCAATTTTGAATTACACATTAGGTATATACAATTTTTCGTTTTTTACGAAAATTTTTACTTTTCGAAGAATGAAATTTTAACCCTTTGGTTTTTTCAAAGTTTTGTCGTTCTAAAGGAATTTTAAAGGCTAGGGGTCTATGGCCTAGTGCAATGCGGTCGCGAAACGACCGCCAAAAGTTCTCCGGCGGCATTTCGACGGCGTTTCGGCTGTATCGGATCATAAGCTCCTGGTATTTACAATACCGTTTTCCTCGGTTTTGGCTTTGTTTGCTAAGTCTGCGCACTTGCGCGTTTCCGTCTCACGTATTGATTTCATCCCCTGTAGTTTCATCCCTCCACCTCGCCACAGTAGTTAAATGGTGATCCACTTTCGGAGCATTAAATATTAAATACAACGAGCTATCTCATTGTTAAAAACAAAAATTGATGATGATATTTCCTTTGTTCTAGTATATTTCGTTGAAAATAAGTAATAACTACTAATGTCGTGTAATTTTATCATAATAATAATACCACATAATAACTTATAGTATAGTTTTTTGAACACATCATTTATACATTAAATTTGAGTTTCGCACTATTTTTGCGACATTTGCAACTACTGTCCCTCATGAGATTTTTTTTATGTGTACCAATATTGTAAAAATGGTTCCAAAATGATTTGTGGATCAATTTGCATAAATAATTTTAACTGAATTCATGGAATCATGAGCCATTGATTTTTTACATTATGTATAATCAAATACGAATATCATATTTGAGTACCATTAGTTTTCCGTCCCGTATAAACAGGAGGTTTAATAATATTACTTTAAGCATACAGTAGATATTTTGTGTGATTAGTATCACAAGAATAAACTAATTTTTAAGAAAATCATATCTATTATATTTTCCATACACATTTGGAACGCATTCGAATATTTTTATACAGGCTATAATTTTAAGTTTAAACATATTATGTACATTTTTCGGTGTTTTTATCGACTCAATGTAATTACTAATAAATGAAGACAATATTATTCATTACAAGAATATAAGAATCAACTGTCAAGTCAACCTGATTGTCGCATATTATTATTTTTACTATTGTTGCTATCACATTTCGTTGTGATAACATACGAAGTTGAACACATAACCTTGGTGTTATTTGTAAACCCTTTATATTTTAATGAACTTTTTTTGCAACACAAATGGCTCAGTAAAGATGTTTAATGGTTCAATAAAATCTCAATCATTAGTTAAATATTTAGTAAACTTTTATGCAATCCAGCTACTCAAATTCTGGCAATTTTTTTTTTTTGAATTCCATTCATTTGCATTGACACTCCTGATTTATACTTTTAATACACACGTGTTAACGGCTATTTAATAGAAAAATTACATTAAAAGGTGTTGTACAATGATCGAATTCTTCGTGTGCAGTCACACACTGCTGTCTGAGGCAGGTTCAAGTTGTCAGTAAATGCAGTAGTGTGGTGCCATCTGGTATTATCCGATCTGTGCTATGGACAATTTACAATGCAAAAGCACTACGGCGGCGTTCCGGCTGGATCGGCTCATGTGCTCCTGGTAGCTACATAACCGTTTTTGCTCGGTTTTGTCTTTATTCGCAAAGTCCGCGCACTTGCGCGTTTCCGTCTCGCGTATTGATTTCATCCCCTGTAGTTTCATCCCTCCACGCTGCGCCCATAGTTGTCGGTCACAGGGTTCCATATGTTATTTTTTTGTGATAATGTGACAGCTCTTATCAACTCTTATCAACCGGTTTGCCTTTATCAACTCCGGTGTTAAGTCGTTAAATCGTTTACAATTAATTTTACTGTGTGGTCAATCTCGAAGGCGGTGCTCCGGCAAACAAAAGCACTAATAACGGATTTACAAGGTATGAAAAAATATATGCTACAAATTACATGAGTTTTGCCTTCAAGCTGCTCTAGTTAAGCGTCTACACCAGTATAGTATTTATTAAGGCGCGTTGTGTAGACGAACTTTCACTGACGCTTAATATTGGGCTAAAATTATTTAACTCATATATTAACACAGGAAAAAGGTATCTCTTTTAGTAATTTATTTATTTTTCGTTTATCTTTTATCTGGAACGCATGCAGGTCCTATTTTTGTGTAAAAACATATTAATATGTTTCTTCTTCTAACAGGAAGTTCCTAAAAATAATTCCGATTTAAGTTTTGAAATCATCACAACATTTAAATGGTATCGATCGTGACATAATTTTTATTTTTTTTTCAGTAATACTTTGTTAAATATTGTAGTTTTTAAAAAAATTGTTTAAAGATTTTTACAATAATAAAAACAAACGAAGGCTTAAATTTACTTTGATTGAAATAGAAAAATCTACTGATTATGTTTGCATAATAAATTGTTATTATTAAGTGCCCTATGTAATTATAAAACATACAAGCAATTTAATTTGATGAAACCCATCTGATTACACAAACGTAATAACACAATTGTATTATAAAATTATTTTGAAGTGATCCGTTATCTAAATCATTGACTTGGTCTATAAAACTAAATAATTTACAATTTTCTAACCTTTCAGAGTGGCACAAATTTTATTCTTTATTCCATTTACTTCAGTGGTAGGGAAAACGCATTTCGTGTTATTACCATCGCAGATAATAGTTTTTTTATCTGGCTATTACACCAAGTTTTAGTATTTTTCAGAGCTCTGTCAACTTTAAAGACTTAGGTAGTAACGTATATACAGGGTGATCCAATTGGTGTAAGACACTCATTTTCTCGGAAAATATTAATATTTTGAAAAACAATTGTTTTCTATTCTTTTGGTTTCATATTTTACTATATTGTGAAAATTTAAACTTTGTCCCTTATACGTTAAGTGATTAGTGACTTCATTTTTCCGAATGGGAACTACTATTTTTAACTCGATATAAGTGTGGTAAAAATTTAATTTTAATATTGTCGTTTGAATTTTTAATTTTCATCAATCGGTTTGTTACTCATTACGTTGTAAAGATTTAAAATTTTGATCAATATTCATTTGGGATTTTAACACGGGTAGCATGATACTTGCTATTAAATAATATTATCGACCCCGTCGTCCGTCGATAAAACCGGTAACTAGACATTATTAACACTTCTTACATTTTTTTTTTTTTAATTATATTTGTATACAATCACGATAATAATAGTCCAAATCATAAAAAAGGATTTTATTCTCTGTGTAATCAAGTATCAAAGGTACTTGCTCGCGGAGCGAACCAAATCACTTGGTAATCTGTGACCATTTATAACTAATATGTCCTTGCTATAGTTACGACATATACCGGCTAACACCTGTCCAGCTCCGTCCACATATCCCTTCGCATACAACTGTGCTGCTAAGTCGGTTATTACTAACAAATGATGAATGGCGTTATCATTCGTAAAGATTTCGATCATTTCCCGGCTCAATTGTTTCCCATCCTCTTGCTGTTTTTTCCTCGTATAGTTCACAGTCATTATGAAACTTGTGATCGCCATCACAATACCCGCTGCGTGGATTTCGATTGGAATCGAATCAAACATATTTTGATAGTAATAATAACAAACACAGTTGAGTTCAATAAAAATCAATGGTATATTACGGCCAGACATAGTGTTTATTTTTCAAATTCATTTGAATTATAATTTACATTACTCATTGCTCGTTGCAACTACAATTTGAATTCTACCTTTCGTCTTGTATCTATCCTGATATGTACTAGTAGAGCACTGTCACTGAACAAATACTTGCTGTAAATTACTAGGAGTAGCATTTTTACTATTTTTGGGCGGTGGTATTAAAGTCTCTTTTTTTTTCTGGATTTATCCAGTACACTCTTATCGAAGGATACAGCGTTAAGTGTAGGTATACGTAGGAAAATATACGAAAAAAGTAAATACAATAGCATTATTACAGTCGCTAAAGCGTTGACCAAGCTTGAAAAATGTAAAACAAAAATTAGTGTAAACTAATCACAAAACAATGGCTGGATTATAAAACTACGTTTTCGAATAAATGCTTCGATGTGAACTGTAGACAGTAAATATATAAATTGGTATTGATAAAAGGATTAAAAACACAATAGTTCTGAATTTCTATTGGCATTGGCCCACCCTGCCTACCCCCAAGTTATGCCAATGCCAAGAAAAGAGGCTTCGGGGATTCGCTCGGTATCTGATTGCGCATATCCGCTTATGATCTTATTTTTGCTGAACTAAGAGACAGATTACTTTTTGATTCGTTTATAATAATAAAATGTTGGAACGTATTTTTCCAGGCCGACATCAAGCTAGTTCCACCAACTATACCAGACAGACCAGGTGGCCCTAAGGCCATGTCGTTTACGCCCAACACCAACTCCGGGATAGAGTTTGTGGGCAACGAAATCTACGACTCGGAGTGCTTGAAGCTGATCAACGAATACTATTACGGGGTGAGGATATTTCCCGGCCAAGATCCGACACACGTGTACGTCGGTTGGTTGACCACACAGTATCATTTGCACAGCAAAGACTTTAGCCAGAACCACGTGCGCAAGAGCACCGTCACCATCGTGGACGAACACAACAGGATTTTGGAAAGGTAAACTTGCTGCGGTGGTACACGTCGAAGTACCGCAGACCACACTGATAATATTTTCCTTTGACGTTTTCAGTATCGATAGACAGAGTTGTTACATGGTCCGGGCCGACCAACTGTACAACGAGGTGACCAACGATTCTTCGGGCAAAGGCGCCTCGCAAGGCATGGCCATAGGTTGTTTCATCGACACGGCCACCGGTATGATGACTTTCACGTGTGAAGGCAAAGAGACCAGTTTCAAGTTTAAGGTGTGTACCCAGGCGTGTGTACTAGATATGAAATAGTGCAAAATTTCGAACGCTGTATTTATTCTCTCAGATGGAACCGGGTATTAAACTATTTCCGGCTATATTCGTGGAGGCCAGCAGTAAAGAAATATTACAAATCGAACTGGGCAGAACAACGACCACACTACCATTGTCGGCGGCCGTCCTCCAGAACTCTGAACGTCACGTCATCCCTCAGGTATTGAGATATCATTCAAAATAACAATTATTCTTAAATACGTTGTTGGCTATACGTTGCCCTGCCTTGGGTTTTTTTTATCGTAGTTCCCGCCCAGGCTAAAGGTGCAGTGCTTGAGACCTTACCAGTGGGCAAGAGTGCCGAACGACTCATTGCACATCCACACGCTGAAGCTGTCGGACATCCGGGGCTGGAGTATACTGTGCGAGGACCCTGTATCCATGATAGCTTTGCACATACCCGAAGAAGACAGATGTATCGACGTGTTGGAACTGATCGAAATGGAAAAACTGCTGTCGTACGTTTAAACATCACAATTGCAATATTTTTTAACATCTAAGTCAGCGACAATTAATTCAGATCACATTGACCCACTCTTGTAGGACTCGAGTGTAAATCAGTTTATTGGAATATAGCTTAAGCTGATCCGGTGAACGCTTAATGGTCTTCCAATGACGGGTCTAAAAAATGTATGCACTCAAACGTCAGTCCTTGGACATGCAACCTTAATCTGGTTACCACAAATTTTGGTTTCAGATTATCATAATAATTTCCCCACGACTTAGTTGAATCCTCCAAGACAATGATCCCCACAAGGAGCTTCTATTTTAATTATTTCTGTAATCGTCTCCGAATCCAAAGCAGGGTTGGAGTGTACAGTCTATAAATGGAAATTTTCTTGATTGGCCTGGTGATAACATAACCAAAGTTGATATCAACTATCGCTAAAACTTTTTTCGCCTGTGTCAGCCCCCAACTAAAATTATATTGACGGACACTCCTTTAATATATTGTCATGTTTAAATCGACGATTGTTTTAATTAATATTATTCGATCGACTAGATTAGAACCCTTAACCTTTCATTTCGTTAGTAATATTTCTATTATTTCAAACTGGTTTAATCTCAACAATCACAACTCTTAGGGGTAACTTTTTTTTACATTCAATTTTATTTGCAGTTTCCACGCCCACACGTTAACACTGTACGCTGCCGTGTGCTATCAAGCAAACTACCGGGCTGCTCATATATTGTGCACCCATGTGGACCAAAAGCAACTCCTATACGCCATATGTTCCGAGTACATGTCTGGTCCACTACGACAAGGATTTTACGACTTGTTAATCGCACTGCACTTGGAATCCCACGCCACCACAATGTAAGCACACTAGACAGTATTTTGTATTTCCTGTGGATTACCCTTTCAACTGATAGTAGTCTATTCGAATAAGGAATTCCTAAAATTTCAGATTCCCAACTCAACTGAGTACTTCCTTATGAATATAATATGTATTTTTTGCATTTGATTAACGTGGGAAGTTTAAATTTTGTACTAAAATATTTTCAATCTTTAAAAACTGGTGCTTAAAAGGACGCTACCCACCCGTAATTTGTAGTGTAAAATAGGGTTTGTGCGCATCAATACTGTAAAAGCTTTGATAGTACTAGACTCACCAAATTTTCATAGAAAAATAGAAAATAATATTATCTGTGCTTAAGCATTTTGTTTGAAATGTGAAATTTGAATACTGAAAGTTTAGGTTTTTTTTTTAGTATTTTTCAAAATTAAATACTGTTTTATTAATAAATACTTTTTGGTTTGTTTGTGATAGACTGTCAGAAAAAAAAAATGACAACCTATAAAGAATTATCATTACTGTATCAATCCTATGTATATACACTGTAGTTTAAGCTCTAAATAAAGATTTTGTACACAATTTCCGACTTACTTACTTTATACTTTACTCCTTAATAAATGAGTGGGTAGCACCCTCTTAAAGCTAAAATATGACACTTGAAAATCTTTTTATTGATATTTTGTGATCGACATTTTTTTTTTTTTAAGTTATCAGTTTCAACGAGCTGTAACACGATAAAAACAATTTTTATAGTGAAATACCAAGAGAGTAATTTTTAAGTGTAATATTTCAGCTTTAAGAATCATAATCTAAGAATAGATTATGATAAGTTGTTAAATTTGAATTTTTTTAATAATAATGCAAATTTCCCTTATTACTTAAGTTGTAAAAAAAATCACGAGGAAGTGCTGAGTGTTGAGGCATTTGCAATTTTAGGGATTTTTTATTCGAATTGGGGCTACTATCAATTGGGAGTTAGGTGAATTGGCATACTTTTCCAGGGAGTTTCTTATATTTATACCAGCATATTATTGATATTTTTTATTGCAGGGAAGTGTGCAAAAACGAGTACATCGTACCACTTGGACAAGAGTTGACCGACTTGTACGACGATCCGACTATGGGCCACAGCTTACGTTCTCTTCAGACCGAATCGGTTCGCCCTCAAATGAAAATGACCGAAATCTCGTGAGCCGGATAACGTGTACCGATGTTATGGATTTGATAGTTTTAATGTTTAATTTTTTTGCCATAGGGACACTATCGAAAACGTCCGGAGCCTGTACAGCCCGTATTTTCCTTTGCAAGTGGTCAGGGAGTACGTGATGGCCGCGTTGGAGGAAGCGGTGTCAGTCAATCAGGTTCACAACAGAGATCCCATAGGCGGTTCTAACGAAAATTTGTTTTTGTGAGTTCAAAATAGATCAATACTTGTATGTTACAATGTATAATGGAAACCATAATTTATTTTTTGTAATATGTAATTAATTTTTCCTACTTAAAAAACGGAAATGCCACATTTTCAGTCCCAAAAACTGGCGTTTACCCGACAATAAATAATATCAACCGAAAAAGATTGATTAACTGTACTTAACTTTTCATATTTGAATTATAAAAAACTTTAATGTATACTATACTGAAATATAATAATATTATATTAATTATATGTTATATATGAAATATTATAATATTATGTGAATTAGGTATATATTGATGGCACACGCTTTTAAGGCAAATTACACAACTGACAAAGTACCTAAATACTAAATTCGTGAAATTATGAGAACTAAAAAAATACAAGTGACATTTTCTTGAAAACAAATTTTTTAACGTACTGGTATTTGTCAATGAGACCATTTTCTATCTGCGTGTGTTTTATAATTTATTATCATTTTTTAAAAAGCTATTAAATAAAACTAATGAACAACGTTCTTAAGAATACATTGAAAATATAATATTCATTTTTTTCTCTTAAAAATATTGTAAAAGTTTCTTTATACCTTTTTGGTTCTCACCACTTAACTTATTTTAAAAATATTCTTTTTTCACGTCTTTTTAAGACCTAAACTAGGGTTTTTTATCCAAGATAAACACAACATATTTTTTACATACCTTATTCTATTGTATCAAAATTTATTCTAAATACTAAATTCTTAAACACTTATTATATATAAATTTCAAAACTCCTTGGCTTCGACAATTTTATTTTTCAAATCTCTCTTTTGGGGAAAGTCTTAAGCAATAATTTTTATCTTATCCATTCCGCCTCGGGTTGTACTATCTCAAACGAGCTGACCAATTTTGTTTACTATCTTAGTTGTAATGCGTTATAACGACATATTAATAGTTTTAGAATTGTTACAATCATTTTGTTTAAGCCAATTTGACAACAATCATATCAAAATTCGTTTTCAGACCTCTTTTGAAACTAGTCGATCGTCTGCTGTTGGTCGGTATGCTGCGTGACGAAGACGTCGAGAAGTTATTGATCATGATCAATCCGGAAACGTGGGATCCAGATTTCCAGAAAGGTATATACTATGTGTTTATATATAGACTTGTTTTAAAATCAACTTGACTTGTTAGACTTGTTTTTTTTTGTTGTAAAAATTGAAGTAACATTTTATTTTCTCAGAATATTATCTCCAAAAATTTAAAATTAAATTAAAAACTCCTCTTAAACGTTAAACAGCAATAAGAAAATGTTTTACTTATAGTCCTCAACAGCAGTATTAAATAAAGTATAGCCATATTTAAGTAGTTTATATGGGCTATGGGCTTATTGAAGTTGTTTTTTTTCTATCTAACACCTAGTTCAATATAATCACACCAATATGAACAACAATCAACACAAACATTCATCTAATCTGTTGAGGCGTTTTTTTTCAAAATGCATAAGTACTGTTTTAATTATTGAATGAGTTTCTATAAAAAATAAATCGTCTCTTTAAATATTTTAAAAATAAATTTAAGTGTTAAATTTGTATGCAAAATTGTCATTACTATTTGTATACCTTGTTTTTCATTAGTTTCGATGCTAAACTGAGAAGATAGTAATTTTACTAGCGATGTGTTTTTTTGTTTAAATTTTAAATATAACAACGTAATTAGCCTTTGGAAATATTGATTGATATTTAATATTTTCACCACTATTGTGTTTCTCTTATTGTAGCCGGTCCGGATGAACACAGGAAAGGTTTGTTACACATGAAAATGGCCGAAGGGGCAAAACTGCAGATGTGTTATTTATTGCATCACCTGTGCGACATTCAGCTGAGACACAGAGTGGAATCTATAATATCGTTTAGCTATCAGTTCGTCAACGACATTCAAATAGTAATTAAAAAAAATATTGGATTGCAATTGGATCCTAAACACGGCTGAAACGTTTACATTTTTGTTTTTAGGATCAACTGAGGCGATATAACGAAATAAAACAATCCGACTTACCGTCGGCGTTGGCGGCCAAGAAAACAAGAGAATTCCGCTGTCCGCCTAGAGAGCAAGTGCGTTAGAAATAGTGTATTTTTGTTTGATTTGAATTGCCTATAGACAACTCTTATGAAATCGACACGACGGTTTTTGCAGATGAACGCAATATTGAGTTTTAAAAATTTGGAAGACGTCGACAGAGACACTTCTTTGTGCGGTGACGAGCTGCGCGAGAGGATGAACTACTTCAATTCCAAACTAATGGCACAAGTTTCATTGGTGGCTTTGCAAGAACCAGAAGAAGACGTGAGTACTGTTTAAATTTAAAATATATATACATATATATAATTACAATATCCTTACAGAATTTACTATTGTTGAATGATACTAGCGAAAAGTATGTTTTTTCTCGGAATTCATATTTTTATGATATTAAATTGTGTACATTAAACTGAACAAGTGTATTGATTTAATTATTCTAGTGATTCATTGAACCCGTAGGCCTTGTATTAGAAATTTCCTTGTACCAATAAGTAATAAATGCAATTGTTGGTTTTAATTTTCATTGCAGCCGCTGGCCAACAATAACACAAATGAAGGTAAAATCAAACAGTTCTATAACTTTATCAATGCCGTCAAAGACGAAGAAAGCGAGACAGAGCCAGACGAGCCATATAAAAAAGTACCAGAAGGTATGATAGTCGTTTTAACAACCTGCAAGTCTAGAATTTTTTTTAAAAATATCAATCTATAACTTAATCATAGAATCTTTGTTTGTTTAAAATTAAAAAAACAAAAAATTATGCAGCCCTATCACTTGTTAAAGAAATAATTTTATTCTACTATTTTACTAGAGTTCAAGTCTTGTCTTATCTGTAATTTTATCAGTCAACTTGATTATCTTTTATGACTAAATCTTATCGCTTGTTTACAGAAATATTTAGAAAGGTTTTGATATCTACCATTGTCGCTTGGGCCGAAGAAACCCAAATCGAAACGCCCAAACTCGTGCGAGAGATGTTCAGGTATATTTTTCAATGTCATATTTTGTATGGCATCAATAATTTATTATTATTTATGACTGTAATCATTCCTTGGTGTTACAGTCTGTTGGTGAGGCAATACGATAGCGTCGGAGAACTCATACGGGCTTTGGAGAAAACGTACGTGATCAACAGCAAAACAAAAGAAGACGTGGCCCAAATGTGGGTGGGATTGAGTCAGATCCGTTCTCTGTTGCCCGTGCAAATGTCCCAAGAAGAAGAGGAGCTCATGCGTGAACGACTGTGGTACGAAATGAGTTTAACAGTTTTGCTTCAACTGTTTTAACACGGACATTATTTACCGCTTGGGGTCATGCAAAAATTTTCGTGGACTTTGTCACAATTAGTGATAAGAAATTGTGATAAGTGATAAGAAACAGCTGATAACGGATGCTGTTAAGGGACAGCTGATAATATGACAAGTGATAAGAGATAAGTTAAAAAGAAGATGGATATGTATTAGATGTTTATTGGATATTTATTTATTAGATAAATGAGGGTGGGGAAGAAAGAAGGGAATGGGAGGACAGTGAGATAGGTCAAGGAGGGGAGAGGAAAAACATATCAATGTTTGTATGTTTTTCCATAAAGCGGAGATATTAATAGGTTTGCTTTTGAATTATTCTTTAAAATGTACTTTATTGTTCAGGAAACTGGTCAACAACCACACGTTTTTCCAACATCCCGACCTGATCAGAGTCCTCCGGATGCACGAGAACGTGATGGCCGTCATGATGAACACGCTGGGCAGAAGGGCTCAGGCCCAGTCTCAGCCCGGAGGAGGCAGCCCCGTTACCGGACAAGACGGCGAAATATTGCCAAAAGAAAAAGTACCGTTATCAGCTACAATAATTATTATAGTGTCTGATATCGTTAGTGCAGTGGTTTAACCGGCGGTTTCGTATCCCTCAGGACACATCTCACGAAATGGTCGTGGCTTGTTGCCGGTTTCTGTGCTATTTCTGTCGTACTTCGAGGCAAAACCAAAAAGCCATGTTCGACCATTTCTCGTTCCTCTTGGAGAACAGCAACATCCTGCTGTCCAGACCGTCGTTGCGGGGAAGCACGCCTTTAGACGTGGCCTATTCTTCTCTAATGGAGAACACCGAGCTGGCTTTGGCGTTGAGGTATGAAAGTGGAATTAAACTGAATTTGTTGTAATTTAATTTTGATACAACGAGCTTTTTGCAAATTAACGTGTAGGAAGAACAGTACAAGTATTCATGGAGAGTTTTCTATTTTTTATTTATTTTTGCATATTATTGGAGTGTCTTCTCTTTTATAATGAAAGAAATGATTAAATGTGACACCATAATGCAAAAATATGTATATTTAAAATTTTTGGAGTTACACCACTTTTACAATAAACGACCCATATGTCATATTAACAACAGTAACGATATAAAACTGAACAAGATAACATCGGCATACACCACTAAAAATCCGGTGAACAACCTATTAAGAAAAATAAGCTATCGTGTGTTTTAATAACGATTTTACCCTAATAACATTTACTTTTTTTGATATTCTCAAACAGTACATTTAGACAAAATATTTAATTTTTAAAGTATAGTTACAAATAATTACAAATTCAGTCAGAAACAGTTATTATCCTGAATATGAGGCTAACTGCGTATTTATAATCATAATGACCGTCCCGCCATTTAACTTTTAATAAAAAACATTCAGAATGATCGCTCAAGGGAGAAGGAATAAAGAGGATATAATATGACTTATGGAATTTATTACTAAAATTGTATAGCTAAAAATAATTTTGAAGGGGGTCGACATTTATGTGTAGGGTGCTCCATTGAATATAAGTTTTATCTCCTCCCATTGAAAACATGTGAGCACGTCACCAATGAAGTGATTGTATAATTGATTGTACATAACATTACTTTTATTCATTGATATTCATGGGAATTCGTGTAAAACAGGGATTGGAAATTAGTTTCTAAAGAGATCCGGTTAATTAAAAAAAAAAATGTCGAGGTCCAGAAAAAACTTAAAAGTTAGTCAATAAATGTATTTATTTTTGCATTAAAAACACAGTTTTAGGAAAATGATTAAATAGAATGTATAAATATTAAAGTTTTATACTAATTATATACAATTTTACACTTTAATAAGAGAAATGACAAACTTTGTCCTGAGTCACTTTTTTAAAATTTAGTATTCTTGGAGAACAACTAATGCACAGTGTTTTCAAGACGGAGATCATTTAATCTTGAACGATATTTGTTCTTTAAAAAGGTCATATTGGAGAACGGAGTTTCACATAATATGTATGTGAAGCCAAACATGGTAGCTAATTGTATAGCCAGTTTTTTACAGTTTATAAACTTATCCAAAACATGCTTTGCCTAAAAATCATCAGCAGGTGCAGTTTTCTAGAGTTTCAATGAAATATCTCCTTGCAAGTCAATAACTTTGAAGTGGACTTTTTATCAAAGTCTATAACATATTATTGAATAACCTTGAATGTATTACAAATAATGTCATTCCAATGAATGGTATCTTTTTTTCAATTTTTAGCCACTCGAATTGCTTTGGATATAATTCGGTATTTAAGTAAATTTTTCCCAACTCTGTCACCAAAGTTGTCAGTACAAAATCATTGTACAGTGGTAAATTTAAACTTGCGCTTTGCTTTTTGCACAGGGAACATTATTTGGAGAAAATAGCGATTTATTTGTCTCGGTGTGGCTTGCAATCCAATTCCGAGCTGGTGGAAAAGGGATACCCCGATCTAGGATGGGACCCGGTGGAAGGGGAGAGGTATTTGGATTTTCTGCGATTCTGCGTTTGGGTCAACGGTTGGTAACATTTTTATTATTTTTTTTTAAAACAATTCTTTGCCAAACCACCGGACACTAGTAGTCTTGTGTCATCTGGACCGTGTTGTGCAGGTGAAAGCGTCGAAGAAAACGCCAACTTGGTCATCCGGTTGTTAATCCGTCGGCCAGAGTGCTTGGGACCCGCGCTCAGAGGCGAAGGCGAAGGACTGTTACAAGCCATAATCGAAGCCAACAAGGTAGGTCTTCCCCTGGATTCATACAAACGGTAAAGTGCGCTCAATGTGAACCCATCGTTGGTTACAGATGTCCGAGAGGATAGCGGAACGCAAGAAGTTCATCGAGGAATCCGGCAACCAAGAAAACGTGCAACTGGAACATCCGCTTCCGGAATCCGAAGACGACGAAGACTACATCGACACCGGAGCAGCCATTCTCAACTTCTATTGCACCCTGGTCGACTTGTTGGGAAGGTGTGCCCCAGACACTGCGGTTATAGCTCAGGTATTCCATACAGCAATTATTACAACACAGTTATTCCATGTTCTGATATGATGAATGAAATTCAAGTACTCGTATTTTGCAAATAAAATACTCATACAACGTGCAGAAAAAAGCAAAAATAAAAAACCACTTTAAGTACTCTAATAGATTAAAATTTCTAACTCTTGACACCACAGAAATGGTTTTCATTATACATTTGCAATGGAAATGCATTTTATTGTTTACAATATAATTATTCTCAATTTGTAAACCATCAAAATATATGAAATTTTTTATATATTCTTAATATCTGTATTTTTAAAACGATTTATACTGCTCGCTTATATGAATTTTATAAATATCTATTTAATATGTTAAACTATTAATAGAAAATAATTTGGTAAGTTTTTTTTTTTTTTTACAAAATTACGCCAGTGCAATAATCATTACATAATTATGTAATGATTTCATTATATAAAAACAAATTTTACTTGCTATATTTTATTTAGAATTTTTTTTCTATGTTTTTTTTTGATACTGATAACGATGGTGGACAGTTAAAGTCACTCAAATTTACTTTAAATGTTACAAATAGTAATTGAACACATTTTTTTTTACTTTTTAAAAACGCTTAGTTAATTAAATCAGCTTTTTTTTTAAATTGTGACAAAAAAAAATTATATTTTTAAATTTTGAAGTAGGTAATTACAGTAAGGCATGTGATAGATTTTGAAGAGGAAAAATCATTTTTTTTTATTAGAACAAAAAAACATAAAACAAATAAATTTTTGGTTATGTTATTTAGATTTTTATGTTCGAACAAATATAGTCGAGTATGTACGAATTTAAATAGGTACTTCGAATTTTGATTAGGAACTTCATTACCTAGTATATTCTTCAATAATTCTAGTAATAATTATTGTTCATAAAAAAAAATGAATTAAAAAATGTTTATATTGTAAATACAATTCGAGTGAAGGTTAGCCATTTTTAGAGTCAATATTGTCACGATTGACCATAATATGTAGGCATTCAAAATACCATTTTATTTTATATCATAAGTAGTTGGTGTTGAAAATATGCTATTTATGATAGATACCATAACAACACGTTATCTGAAATTTAAAATACTTCTAATCTTTTAGAGGTTCCCACGTCTCTTGTAACTCTACTCCGACCCACCTTGTGCTCTCTCTCATCCCTTAGCATAAAGATTGTGACTGCACCTGTGACTGCACTGGCAGTGTAACTGCAGTCGGTACTTTTACTGTGTGAATATTTGTACAGGGCAAAAACGAATCGTTGCGAGCCAGAGCCATTCTTCGTTCACTGGTGCCCCTCGAAGACCTGCACGGTGTGCTCAGCCTGAGGTTTACCTTGCAGAATCCGGCCGCGGGACAAGACCGACCGAAGAGCGACATGCCGTCGGGTCTGATACCCGGCCACAAACAGAGCGTGGTGTTGTTCTTGGAAAGGGTGTACGGCATCGAGTCGCAGGAGTTGTTCTTTACTCTGCTGGAAGAGGCGTTCTTGCCGGACCTGCGAACAGCCACGATGCTCGACAGGGTGTGTTTTTTTAAAAAAAATTATATAGCTTGCGAAGGTGCAGGGGGAAAATCGGGAGTAGCTTTTTATTTTTATCTAAGAAAAAATGTACGAAAACTCTTAAAAAAAATTTCATTTTCATTTTTTAATCATTCGTTTGCGGTTTTTTCTTCGCTACACAGAACGACGGGCTCGAGTCGGACATGGCACTGGCCATGAACAGGTACATCGGGAACTCGGTGTTGCCGTTGCTGATTGGTCATTCGAAATTCTACAGCGAGTCGGACAACTACGCCAATTTGTTGGATGCCACCCTGCATACGGTGTACAGGCTATCGAAAAACCGCATGTTGACCAAGGGACAGCGGGAAGCGGTCTCGGACTTTTTGGTGGCCTTGACTAGGTGAGCGTCGTTCTCAGACTTGAAGTCGTTTCGAATTTTACTTATAAAATCTATTTTAATAAGTACAAAAAAAAAATGAAACTATGAATCAGCTGATAAAAAAAAAACCCCCTTAACTTGGCGATATATCTTAAAAGATACACAAAATTTAAATAAATTATCCATTGAAAATATAAAAGATATATGGACTGTTTTCATTTTTTATGTTCTTTGGAGAGATCATTATGGTTATTGATAACATTTTACAGATTTAAAAAAAAAATGTAACTATTCTTTAAACTTTGATGTGTAGCTTGTTTTAATAATATTTTTTTTGTTTTCTCGAAGTGAAACTCGAATAAGCAGTAAAGCAATACTAAAGATTTAACATAGATAGGAAGAAGACAAAGATATTTATGTTCTTAAAATTGTTTATTGTATGTAATATACAAATTTAATTTCGCATTTATATGAATATATTGAATAGTTGTAGAAAGTATATTTACCATAAAGCAAACATTTTAAAACCGAACTTTTAAAATGTTGATTTTATTATTAACTAACAACAATAATAATACTATGTTTTTACTATTTTCTTTTGACAATTTGTAATAATAAAAACAAAATTAAGTTTGCTATAAAATGTAATTGGAAATTCATAACAAATTTTTACATATATATTTATTTACTGATATATAGAGAATTAATTGTCTTATATTATGATAGAAAAAAATTATTTATTTAGATTACAATTTTTAACTGCACCCATTACCTGTTTGTATAAGCAAACAAACATCTTAATTGTTTTATTTTTCCAGTCAAATGCAGCCGAGCATGCTCTTAAAACTACTCAGAAAACTTACCGTCGACGTGTCAAACTTGTCCGAGTACACTACAGTTGCTTTACGGGTATGTACCCACCTATAGGATTTAAAGCGGCGACATAGTCATAATTAGACTAAATTTAATATGCAAAGTGGTGTGCTCTTAACCGAAATTCAAACGTTTCGTTAAGAGCTGTTCCGTCCGATAGACGTGTATAATTGCTTAGCTGATGAAATTATATTGTTGTGTTATATCTTTCAGTTGTTGACGTTGCATTATGATCGATGTGCCAAGTACTACGGATCTACTGGCGGCCAAGGACTTTACGGTGCGTCCAGCGATGAAGAAAAACGACTTACCATGATGTTGTTCAGCAACATATTCGATTCGTTGTCAAAAATGGTAATAACAATGTTGTTTGTCGAATGTAAATTATTGTAACGTCTCCTCACAAAAAAAAATTCTTGAAATTGAGACCCCTAACTAGGCGCTGTATCTTTTTAGATAAATTCAGCTATGTGCTTATTAATGTAATATCACTAATATTATATTTGTTGAATTTCGTTATTTTATTCGTATTTTAAAAATATGTATCTAAACATCTACGTTGCCCAAAAACGTTGCTTCTTTCTATATTCCATGTGTATCCAAAGAGACACATTGCTAGAAGACAATATTATCGTTATTATTAATATAATTTCTGTCAATACTTATAAAATATGCATTAAGGCAATCGCTGTGATCATTTTATGTAATTTTAAATAACCTTCATGTATATTTTGTTCAACGTTGTTGATAAGCAATGAAGAAATTGCGGTGTTTATTTTGTAAAATTAACGATTTTAAAAAACACTTGTTATTCATTATAGGAAAATGTTTAAAATAGTTTTGTACAAATATGAAATATTTTAAGTATTTACACTATTTACACATCTTGCGGTTACTCGCATTCATGGACTGGTTGACTGGTCGGCCAATATTAATACCTTAAGTATTTCTAAGTAAACATTAAACTTCATAAACACGAGTCATAATTGGTAAATAAGCCAGAACTGTAATAAAAAAAAAAAATGTTTCATACAAATTTTTAATCCTGTTATTTTGTATAATACGTTTGTTGGTTATCAAAAACTACAAGTGTTACGTTTTTTTTTAATGAATTCAGAGACCTCAAATTAGTGAAATATAGTCAACTTAATAATTTTCAGTAGTGATTTTCAAGGTCGGCTAAGTTAAGCTTAAATAATACCAAGTCAGGCTTGACTAAAAATGGCTTCTATAGGTTTCTGAAAAGCATAGTCGAAACAAACGACTTACTCAAAGACAGCTTTGACCTAATCGGTGTCGACTTTTCAAGTACAAGTATAATGAAGTAATTTTTTTCTCCTCAGGACTACGAGCCGGAGCTATTCGGCAAAGCGTTGCCTTGCTTGTCGGCTATTGGATGCGCTTTACCGCCTGATTATTCTCTTTCGAAAAACCACGACGACGAGTGGTACGGTTCTAAAGCCAACATCCAAGGACCGTCTGATGGACCGTACAATCCGCAACCCATCAACACTAACAGGTAAAATAAATTAATAATATTCGAAACGCCTTAAGCGAAAATGTAATTAAGTTATTAGAGACATATACTAGTGCTCGACCTCAGCTAAGAAGTTAAAAGGACCTCCAACGTTATCCTACGTTTAGAGGTTTATACTTAAGCAAAACTGCTATAACAACAAATTTATGACCCTCATAAACATTGGTTGTATTTGTTATCGCTTCATGCAAAGAGGCCCTAAGTTTATTACTTGAATCTATCGGTATAGCAAAAAAAAATCTTTGTTTTTTAAAAAAGTTTACAAATGTAAGATCTTGATCAAAGTCAATAGCTACTGGATAGTAAAACTGAAATTCTATAAGGTCATTTTTTTTTTACCATTTATGGCGTCTTGATAATTGGTATTTAGATATCATAGGCTTAGACCTTTTTTTTTTTTTTAAAAATCAACTATTGTATGTAATTTATTAGTATATACTTAAACTTTTTTAGCTTATGGCTTTAAAAACAAAATGTCTGTAGCATAAAAAAAGTTTTATTAACTTTTTAAATAACAAATATACCGTAATATGAATTACTAAATTAAAATTAAAAAAAAAATGATTGTTCATAAAATAAAAGAATTATTAATTTGCATTTTCGCTGATATGATTAATCATTAATATTGTAAATAGTTATCGTGAATTTTACATTTTAAATGTATGTTCAACAGATACTAGTGATGGGACTAAAGTCGTTTTAACACGTCTAGAAACAGTGATAAAATATAACATGTAATAATCACATTTTTTTCTGAAAATGTGCACCAACGCCTTATTTTTGCACGAAGCGATTCATTTATAATAGTTACAAATCAAATATGACCTATTTTTTTCTTAGCATCATACTCGACAACGACTTAAACACTATCGTTCAAAAATTCTCTGAACACTACCACGACGCTTGGGCCAACCGGAAATTGGAAAACGCTTGGGTTTATGGCGAACAGTACAACGACGTGAACAAAACTCATCCACGTCTCAAGCCATACACAATGCTCAGCGAATACGTGAGTGCTGCTTTCGTTAAAAGTAAAAAATAATAAACCACAGCTAATTTCTCCGCTCCGCGGTAAAACTTTGGCTCTCGGTTGTCAAAATAATAACATGGCACCCAAAAAAAAAAATATAAATGCTCACTGAGGTCTCATAAATTGATTAATTTATATTTACATGAAGATATAAACGCAATGATCAATAATTTCAACGACAGTAGTCAGTGTGACATTGACGTCTTGTACAATTTTTTTTTTTCTATTCGCCCCCTCTAGGGGATGAAGTAAATACGTCCCTGAACTGACATACATCTTTTCTTCGGTCTTCTTCTCTTTCCCGCAGGGGCGGGTTTTATCACTCACCAAAGGGGGGGGGGCTAATTGAGGTTAAGAATTTACCTAGCTGTATTTCAAATCCAAAATCTAACAATCCAAAAATAGCTTGAAACCTAAATATTCAAATATCCATAAATATTAAATAACCATATTCTTCAATGACGAATTATAATACTTGCCTTAGATAAATGGATAGCTACGCCTAAGGGGGGGGCTACCACCCCTTAGCCACCTCCTTAAACCCGCCACTGCTTTCCCTCTACATTAATTTGCATAGCCACTCTCACTGCCTCTGCCTCATCTCTTCTCATAACATGACAGAACCTATTCTCTCTCGTTTTCCCCACAATTGATGCAACTCCTAGACTTTATGTATACATTTCTTATTCTTTGTGCTTAATCGACGTGTTGCCGTCCCTAGGAAAAAGAACTGTACAAAGAACCCGTGAGGGAGTCGCTGAAAGCTTTGCTGGCCATAGGCTGGAGCATCGAGCATTCCGAAAACGATGAGCCGCTGAGCAACCGTGGATCGATTCGTCGCCAGTCCAAGTCCAACGTAAGTAGTGTGTGTGATGGTGCTTCATCGGCCGAGGTTCACAATTATTTATTATTGTACTGACTTGTCGGTGTTAAACGCTTTGCGCAGGAAAACATGACGCCGTTCGACTACCATCCCAACCCGTTGGATATGACTAACCTGACATTGACCAGAGAAATGCAAAACATGGCGGAACGGTTGGCGGAAAACTCGCACGATATTTGGGCCAAGAAGAAGAAAGAGGAACTTATGATATGCGGTAACAGTTAACGACAATTATTAAGTATTATCACCGGTCAACGTGAATATATTTTGTGCACCGAAAATTTATCAATTTTTGTTAAGATATGTTTTAAGACTAAACGTTTGACAAATAGTATTCAGTCGAATGTGATTTAAACACAGCTACTAAAATATCAACATTACGGTGGTTAAATTACAAGTAAAACGTTGGTAATATATTTTCCATATTATACTTAAACAACATTTTGTAATAATAATAATATTTTAGAAACATTTAATATCCTGTCAAAACGGGATTTAAAAATATTAAAAAAACTTTTTGACAACATTTTGAAAACCTTATTTAATGTATTATTTTAACAGTAGTTGTTTTCGGACTCGAACCAAAATTGAAAATGTGTTGACCGGTATAATTATTACCGACTATTACTTAAATGAAATAAATTAAAACACTCATTTTTTTTAATGCGCATTTCTGCTGCAGGTGGTGGCATTCACAACCAGCTTGTACCGTACGACCTGTTGACCGACAAGGAAAAGAAAAAAGACAGAGAACGATCTCAGGAATTCCTAAAGTACCTTCAGTACCAAGGCTACAAGCTGCACAGGTAACGTCGCCTTAGGTTAACCTAACAGCCTTGTAAAATGTCCAAACCCCCTCTTTCAGTTTCACTCTGTCTTCCTACTCCTGTATGTCTTTTTAAATAATCTTCAAGCAAAATATTATCTTATCGCTAAGAACTATCTATACACTCTCTTCGTGCTCTAGCTAAAACTCTTCTTTATTGCTCCTCTCCCACCTTATATATGGATAATAACGTATGGGCGTTTATAACATTTGACACTTATGTCCAACACCGACTTTATAATCATGATGTTATCCCGTTTGTTTATCACATATCGCTTTCTTGGCCCTTCAGACCCAACCGGAACGGTGGACCCACAGAAGCAGAACAACTGGCCGCCGCATCCACTGGTGAGCTGAGGTTCTCCTACAGTCTACTCGAGAAGTTGATCCAGTACACCGATCGGGCTTCGATCAACATGAAACTTTTAAAACCGTCCAGTACATTCAGCAGACGTTCCAGTTTCAAGATTTGTACCAGAGACATCAAGTTCTTCTCCAAAGTAAATGCCTAGCTTGTTTTAAGCATCGTTAAATAAGAAATAACCAGCTGGTCATACTCACTAGGAGATGACAAATATTTTGGTTAAAAAAAAAATTGTAATTTTGCAAAAATTGGTCTCCCTTGAAAAAGTTATAATTTTCTGAAACAGTTTTCCGCAGGGTTTCAGTATTGTCTATAATTTCATTTAGGGCCATATAGAAATGGTAATTAATAGATAAATAATTAATAATGGCTTGAAAGTATTCACACATTTTTCAATAACTCTTAGAATTTTTTTTCTCAGTCAATATATTTATTTTTACTTGTTTGGAAAAGAATATCTTCGTTAATACCTAAAAATTGTATAAAAAAAAAATTAAAAAAAAAAAAAAACACTCAAGTTTGGTAGTTTCTTGAAAGGTTGATTTTGTTATGTTAAGTTAAATAAAATGTTATTGATTAAGCCAAGAGTTATAGTTTAACTTAATTGAGTTAATAATTAATATTAATTTGAAAAACTGATTTCAGTTATTTTCAAGATGAATAAAATCAGATTTGGTAGGTGAGGTTTTTTATACTTCAAATAAAAAGCAATTTTAGAGTAAAGTATTTTATTGTACTTTAATAAAACAAAAAAATTGGTTAGTTATCGAGTTAGTTCAGAAACTTAAATGTTAGGTTTGTACTAACGAAAAAAATCAAGCTTAAATTACAATTGACTATGGAACTTTTTTAAAAAGTTAAGCATAAACAGTTAATTACCAACCTATTATTAAAAAAACAAAAAAATGTCCCTATAAAAGTTTTATTTGAGAAATTACAATTAAAAAAGTTTTTACCTAAGTAGGACAACAACCGATCACGAATTGTGTTTGGAAGGTACCTGAAAATTCGCCTTCCCTCTTGAAAAATATAACACTATATTAAATGTACAGATAATTGTTATATCGACTTTTTTTTTACAATTTTTAGATAGTTATCTTATGTTACACGAAACTGTTTTAAAATTAAACACAAATCTTTTTACAGAAAACGGTATTTTGTAAAATGAGTATAACTTTTGCTCGTTTTTAATTAATGTTAACCGTCAAATTTAAGCCATGTTAAAAGGTTTAACTATGGACGCATTTATGCACAGACTTGCAAAATCAATGTGAAACCTAATTTAAATATTTAAAATCGGTAGAAATAACACACCAATTTTAAATTAAATTCCACGAAAGAAACCTGAAAGGTCACTGTTTTTTATTCGGTACTTTGTTTTTGCAGGTCGTTTTGCCTCTCGTAGAGAAGTATTTCAGCACTCATAGGAATTATTTCATAACGGTAGCGACGGCCTCGAGCATTTTGGGCGCAGCTTCGTTGAAAGAGAAGGAAATGGTGGCTAGGTACGTGATTTATTATTATCGGCCATAAACTTTTTGGTAATAATTATCAACTATATTTATGTTGGGTTAATCAGTCTGTTCTGCAAATTGGCCAATCTACTGAGGTCCAAGCTGACGGCGTTCGGAGCCGACATCCGCATATCGGTCAGATGCCTTCAAGTGCTGGTCAAAGCCATCGACGCCAAGTAAACAAGCAATCTATTAACCGTACTAGAAGAAAAAAAAAACGATTTATTTTCAACACAATTTTTATTAGATCTTTGGTGAAAAACTGTCCGGAATTCATAAGGACTTCGATGCTGACCTTCTTCCACAACATAGCCGACGACTTGGAGCACACTATCCAGAACTTGCACGACGTGAGCGCCTCGCCTTTGGTCGCTTTTGACAATGCTTTTACAAATGTCCGTTTCTTCGTTTGCAGAGTCGTTACTGCTATCTTCGAGGCACTCATTTGAAGACGTCCACGTCGTTGTTCTACGTCAACGACGTCATCTTGCCCGTGCTGTCGTCGCTCTTTGATCATTTAGCCGCCTGCGAGTACGGCAACGATCTCCTCCGTACGCCCACCGTCTCCAATAATATTAATTATCTCTTCTTAACGTTATTTTATTATTGTTATTATTATATATATGTTTTTTTTTTTTCACGAACAGTGGACGAAATACAAGTAGCCGCCTACAAAATACTCAGCAGCCTGTACACGCTGGGCACTGATACGTCACTAACGCACGAAAGGTAATTAATGTATTTATTTACCGGATTAATTCCATTTACAATATACATATAGTATTACAATAGTACAGACATATATTGATGACAGTATTACAACTTTATAGCTATTGATAAAGTATAAAAAAATTCACAAAAAAACATTTTTCCTACTACACGTTACATGCTGACTTGATAATATCACTTTGTTACAAAAATTTGATTCAACTGAATTTGCAATAGAAATTGAAGTAGTATTTACAGGGGAGGATAAATTATAGTTAGTACGTATATTTTTTAAAGCAAATGAATCATTATTTCTCGTAAAGTTAGACTAGGTTTTACAATTTAGTTTTTCTGGTACTTAACGGCAATCAATTTGATTATTTAATAATTTAAGAAGAAAAATATAGTTTAAATATTTTCTACGATTCCTTAATGTAAGAATATTAAAAAATCCGGATACTCCTTCACAGCCATAATGAGGTAGTCTTTCGATTAGAGTTTCGAATTTAATCAAGAGTTTGATTTAAAATTAAGGAATTTAGAGACCCAATAAGTACGGCATATTTAATCTGTAATTGTACAATAGAGGAATAGATGTTCTTTAAAGCAAAATAATCACTAAAACTTGAACAACTCCGTTTTAAAGACCGTATTGTGACGATGCTTTATTTGTTATCTTACTGATATGCTCCTTAAAATTAATTTTTGTATAAAAAAATTCAGTTAAATCGTTAATTAAATTAACACGCTGGATCTTGGAGTTTGAGGATTATTAAAAATTAAAATCTAAATTGGTTTTTTATGAGAAAATAAAATAATTGAGCGTTTACTTGTATTGAATTTCATGACGTTCTTCATGCACAGTTTAAATAAATATTCAAAATAATAATAAGATACGTCGTGAAGCCTAAAAGGCATTGGTTTTAAAAATCATACATCTAACATCATAATTATCTATATCTAAATAAAATTAAAAAAAGGTTAAAATTATCAAATTGTCCAAGTATTAAATATTATTACTTTTCTTGCAAATAGTTCCAAAAGTTGTTTTCGCGTTTTCGAGATAACCTTCTACCTAATCATTTTTTTTTACGTTTCCCTAGAGTGAGGTTAGATTTTTTCCCCCTCAATTTTTTTGGATACTTCCTTCGAGTCAGATAAATTTGTCCAACACAGTGTATAATAATGCTGTGTGTGCATTTCACGTTGATTGAATTTCTTTTATATTTTTGTCACATCTACACCTGTTCATTTTTTGTTTAGAAAATACTTGAAAGTCCAGCTGGAGCGACATCGGCCGGCTTTCGGCAGTTGTCTGGGCGCGTTCAGTTCGACTTTTCCAGTGGCTTTTCTTGAACCGCACCTGAACAAGCACAATCAGTATTCACTGCTCAACCGGATCGCCGACCATTCGCTCGAAGCTCAAGGTATGGGCTAACTCGTATAACACTATTGACCAAAATTTTGAAATGAGACGTTTTTCGACACTTATTCTCGCGTATCGTTGCAGACATTATGTCCCGGATGGAAGGTACCATGCCCACACTGGAAACCATTCTCAACGAGGTAGACCAATTCATCGAATCGGACAAGACCTACGCGGACGCTCCGCACATCATCGACGTCGTCTTGCCGTTGCTGTGCTCGTACTTGCCCTTTTGGTGGGCGCAAGGACCCGACAACGTGGCCCTGACCACCGGGTATTGATTCGAATTTTTCATTTTAACATCCCCTACCCCCGGAACTGATCTGTTGACGCTGTTTGTGAAATCTCTGTTGCAGAAACCACGTGACGATGGTGACCAGCGAACACATGAACTGCCTGCTCAAAAACGTACTGAAGCTCATCAAGAAAAACATAGGCAACGACAACGCTCAATGGATGACCCAAATAGCCGGTTAGTATTTTTAATTTTTTTTTTGACGATAACAGCTTTTAGTAGCGAAAAAACGAGCCCTTTGTATCTTTATACGGTTGCAGCCTATACGCAACAAATCATCATCAATTCGTCGGAAGAACTGCTGAAGGACCCGTTCTTGCCGTTGGCCGAGCGAGTCAAAAAGCGCACCGAAACTTTATACCACAAAGAGGAATCGTTAAGAGGATTCATCAAATCATCGTCAGACGATACGTCTCAGGTGAACTATTACCTTTTAAACTTGTAGTTATTGTTTAACAATACTAGTTTTTGTTCAGGAGGTTTTACGTGTTTTGAAAATATACGTTTGTCTGGTTCGTTGTGGATAGGTTTTAGATTTTGTTAGGTTAGGTTGAATAATGCAGCGTAGACAATAGCTACAAAACCTTAGAACGTCTGCCCATCTCTGACAATAGTGACGTGATGTGATGGATCAATAAGTCTAATATTTCCTTTACAAATAATTGCTAATTATATCGTTGACTCACGTGTTTACAGATTGAAGCGCAAATACAAGAAGATTGGCTGTTGGTTGTGAGGGACATTTACGCGTTTTATCCGCTATTGATCAAGTATGTGGATCTCCAGCGCAACCATTGGCTGCGCAACAACGTACCGGAAGCCGAAGACCTGTACAACCACGTGTCGGAAATCTTCAACATCTGGTCCAAGTCTCAGTACTTCTTGAGGGAAGAGCAAAACTTCATTTCGGTCAACGAGATCGACAACATGATCCTTATCATGCCAACGGCGTCTCGCAGGTCGGCCGTCATATCCGACACGTCTCTCAGTGCGTCTGGAGGGAAGGTACGATAGCGTTGGAATATTGTCGGTTTTTGGCCATTAAGGATTTTTTAACATGGATATGCTTTTTGGCTATGACCATAGATGAGCAAAGGATTATGAGGAAGGGGGATGGTTTCAGAATACCGACAGTGACAAGAAACAGCTAATTACAGATTGTTATTAAAGACAGCTATTTAAGGATTAGTGATAAGAAAATATTGATAAGAGACGGATGATAAAAGCTCCTAATAAGAGACAGATGGTAAATTATCAGTCATCCGCTGTTTTTTTAACTGACTACGACACGAAAGAAGAAGATGACTAACTTAAGAGATTAGTGAAAAAGAATATCTGATAACAGCTCCCGCTAGAAGAATAGTGATAAGGGACAGCTGATAATGACTCCTGATAAAAGACAGTTAGGTTTAGGCAAATATATATATATATATATAGTATATATAAGTCGGTGTCTGCCATTTTTGTGTTTATAAGATAATATATAAACATTATCTATATCTCTAATTTTGTGTTTTCAACTTAACTTATAATTTGTATAAACATATTTTTATGTGATAAGATTCTAATTCCCACAAAGATGTTGGAAAATGGTAACTTTAATTATATACATATATTAGTGGCATGTTTACTTAGCAATCTAGTTTTTATTATGTATATATCTGAGGGTTTAAGTTAGATTTGAATTAAATAGGTAAAGTTAGGTTAGGTGGAAGGAGATGACTATTGGATGGTTCAGAGAAAGGAGGAAAGGGGGGTGGGATAGATCAGGGTCGGGAGGGGGAAAACACATCCATGGTTCTAGGTTTATTTTTTTTCCGATTTTACAGAAGAAGAAAAAACACAGAGATAAGAAGCGAGACAAAGAGAAAGAAGTCCAAGCGTCGCTGATGGTGGCTTGCTTGAAAAGACTGTTGCCGGTCGGCTTGAATTTGTTCGCCGGCCGAGAACAAGAACTGGTCCAACACTGCAAGGATCGTTTCCTGAAGGTATGTCTCGGCACCTTCTTCTTTATCTTCGCCTTACAATCCCAACCACATGTGGTCGATCACCTTAGTCCTACAACCCCATTATGCTCGATCTTCTACATCTCGTTCAGTCATCCCAGCTATCCGCATATCTCTATTCCGTCTATCCATCTTTTTCTTCGGTCTTCCTCTTTTTCCCTTTACATTCATCTCCATAACACCTATTCTCTCTCATTAACAATTGCTGCTAACTCCTAGTCTCCCCCTTATGTATTAATTTCTTGTTCTATCCTCCCTAGTCACTCCACTCATCCATCTTAACATTCTCATCTCCGCTACACTCATTCTCTGTTCAGTTTTCTTGTCTACTGTCCAACATTCCGTTTCGTATAACATCGCTGGTTTCACTACCTGCCTATAAAATTTACCTTTCTGTCTTATAGATATCATCCTGTCACAAAAAAAAAAACACCTATTATTTGATAATAGGATTTATTACTAATTAATGATGTTCCTATCGCTTTGGCCTGCAGAAAATGCCCGATTACGAGGTAGTGCAGTTTGTCAAAACCCAGCTGACCTTGCCCGACAAGCTGGACCCGGCCGACGAAATGTCGTGGCAACACTATTTGTACTCCAAGTTGGGCAGCAAAAAAGACACTATCAACGAAATCAAACCGCAGCAAGTGGACGAAGTGGCCGACCGAATCGTGGCCATGGCCAAAGTCCTTTACGGATTGCACATGGTAAAAAACACTCATCGTACAACACAAACACAAATACATTGTTATTATTATTATTTTATTACATCTCTACGTTATATAGTTTAGCCACTATCAGATCACGGATGGACACTGATTTTTATCCGATAATTCTAAATATTACCAAAGTGCGCATATTACATAATTATCACTGTGGTCAGGCGTCGATCGAAATAAAAACATCTGTCCGTATTTCTAACTTCTAGTTAAAAAACGATTGCCCTAAATCGATTCATTAAGAACATGCGTTTAACATATATCCACTAAATATTAGGTATCACACGCTAAACCGATAATGAAGTAAACGCTGTTGTTTTAGTAAATAACAACGGTCTCGTAAACATACACAGGTCATTTGTTTATGTCTAAAAAACAAGCATGTACTTTTTTTTTTTTTTTGGTTTTGGTAATATAACCGTTATTTGTATAGAAACGAAATAAAAATCCATTACAAATCATACGATGTGTTAAACGAGATAACGCGCTGAAAACGTATTTAGTCGAACGACATTGTTGACGTTTTTCAATATTCTTTTTAAAAATAACCCACAAGAAATATACATTAATCGTCTTACATTCAGACCCGAATAATTTGAATAATTTAAAATATAATAATTTACAATAATTATTTATTACTTAAAACTTTAAATAATATTTTATTATTTCGAATAACTTGTTATATTGAATAATTGCTATAATTGCTTTAATTTGTCATTTAAGTGCATAATTATTACCTCTATTTATTTCCATTGGCAATAAAATAAAAATCCAGTACAGTGGGGTCAGGACATACTGAGGACAAAGCATATTGGAGTGGGGGAAAGTCAAAGGAATAATTCTATGTGATGAGTTCATAATTGGAGTAGTTTGGATCTAATGGGAATCTGATAAAAGTGGAATAAAAATTTAAAAAATAATTGAATAAAGCACAACTCTGCCGACTGTATGGTTTATTTTTATTTCAAAAATATGTACCTAACACTTTTTCTTTATTATGTAAAAAGCCAATACTGTCCACAGAAATTAAAACTAAAATTAATAAATTCCCATTTAATTAAACGCTTCGATGCGAATAAGTAATGGTGGACATACAAATATCGACAAAAAAATTGTAATAAAATAATGGGATAAAAAATATATTTTTAGTATTGGGGTGGATAAGTTTATGGTTGGTGTTTTTTTTTTTTGATCTTTTCTTAATTAAATGTTTGACTACAGATTTTCGAGACAATTGTATATTATGTTATAGTTCTGTTTTAAATACACCTTCGGACTAATTTTCAGACCTAAATCTCTAAGTGAAATAAAGAAAAAACGAATTAGACAACTTTTTAAAACATTTATAGACCGCTGTAATTTGAATTTAAAAAACATGTACAAATTTTGGGTTTTTTTTCGATTTTGAATGAGAAGGGTTTAATTTTTGGCCTATTCAAGTACCTTTCAGGTACAATTTCTGATCAATGAAGTTGCTACGCGAAGAAATTTGTTCAGTTTAGAAGATATTTTGGGTACAGACACAAAAAAAAAATATATAAAACGACACCTTCTTAGATCTGCATCAAAGCCAAAAATTGTTGGTGTAAAATAATTAAACAATTTGTTTAAATACAATTTTTTTTTTATTAATCGAGTTTTATTTGAATAATATTTTAACTAAAAAATGAATTTGTTTTTATTATAATAATGTCCGGCCCCTGCAAATTACACCTCAAGTGATTTATGATGGATATAAAAAAACGATAATTTTCGTTAGTAAAAAAATAAAACGTACAAATCCGTGTACAACTATTGAAACTTCAACGGTGTCGTTTGACCATTATCTATTTTGATTTTAAAATTGTAATCTTAGAATCAAAGCGAAGTAGATTGACACAGTAACCTATAGCTAGTATGTATTTTCTTTAGTTTTTTTTTTTTTTTGTTTTGCTAGATTGATCATCCTCAGCTTCAAAGCAAGGCGATTTATCGATCAGTTGTATCGACGCAACGTAAGAGAGCCGTTATTGCTTGTTTCCGACAACTCTCACTCCACGCTTTGACCAGGTCTTTTAGACGCTTGTAATTCAATCAAGTGTTCACGTTTTGTCGCTAACACGGTTTTGGTGTTTATGTTTCTTCCGTAGTATTCAGACGCTTATAACAACAATATCTGTGGCTATTCTACAGATTTACTAACAGTAATTATATTATACATGACAAAGAACATAACAAATGGCCAACACCCGCAGGTTGTACCCGATTGGTCTCGACGCCAAATAAATGGTACCTACCCGAGCTTGTGATCACGTGAACGGTTTTTTTTATTTTCTGTAATTATATACTTTGAACGCATGTTAATCTTGATTTTTGTGTACACTTTTCTATTGTCCTGCAGTGAAGGGTCTCTCACGCCCAGATAACAGATATTGTGTATATGGTATATGGTCCAGTGTTGTTTAAGGAACGAATGCCAAATGAAACGTTTTGTACGATTAGATTTGTTTGGAATAGTGAGTTTTTTTTGAAATTAAGCCTATTTCGATTTCAACCCCAACTATATTTTGATCGGCTTGAGACGCTGAAACCAGAGTTTACTATTTGATATAAATAAAATGAAAAATTCCTCAAAAAAAAAAAATAAATAAGACGAACTCATTTAGAACCATTTTCAAAATACATAATAAGTGTTAAGAAATTAGAAATTGTTGGCATTTTTTGGTTATGACTTTAGGATTAACAAATGATTAATAAATTAGCGATTTCACAGATTATTTGTAGTTTATGATTTAGTTAAAGACCAAATAGGACTAGGAAAAACTGGAAAAATACTCATTTTGAGGGGGGGGTGGTGAATCGTTTGTGAATAACAACACTGGACTAAGATCTGAATCGCTGCGGTTGGGTGTGAGACGCCCCAAACGCATATCGGACAAGTATAGAGAAACCGGATAATGTGTAGGCACCGGTTTACATCACACCCATTATAATATAAAGTAAACCTATACATACATTAATTGTGACGTCATTTGCACATTATTTTGTACTTCTAATCATGTTTGCGTGCACCTGCTAACAGTATTTTTTTCTTGAACCTGTACGCGTCTTGTAGTTGTGTCACAGTAGTAGCCAATTGAACCGTCTGGGATGGAGAACCTTATTATCCGTGGCCAGAAAACGAGCGGCTATCGCTTGTCTTAGAATGTCTCCGTTGTACAGCATAATAAGGTATAATATCTCTAACGTGTACGGTGTCGTGTCTAACCCCCAACCGGGGCCTATTGTCGTTAACCCGGAACGGCGTGTACCTACAGTTGTATACCTAACGCTCTGATCTAACCTCGGTGTGAATTGAGTGCGCCTTAACCTCGTTGCACGGTACGAACTCGCGGCCAAATTGCTAATCGCTAAATAAAATAAACGATTAATTTGCAGACACCGAGCGGTGAACATATTTGTTCGGTCCTACTACGAGCTGTGGCTCCAAGACGAGAACATCGGCCAAGAAGTGATGATCGAAGACCTGACAGTAAGACCACGAACAGTCGCAAATCGTCGCTCAAGATGCAACACCTCGTATCTATCTCGCCCGGTTCACATTCTTCGGTGGGCCAACTTGATTTGGTCAATTAAATACGAGGCGTTGCACTCAAGGCGACGAATTTACACGACATTTGTCCGTTACTCTGTTTTTACTCTTTTGCGCAGCAATCTTTCGAGGAAGCAGAGTTGAAAAAACGCGACAAGGAACAAGACGAAGGCAAAGCGGATCCTTTGAACCAGATGGTGACCACGTTCTGCCGAGGCGCCATGACCGAGCGAAGCGGAGCCCTACAAGAAGATCCACTTTACATGTCGTACGCCGACATTTTAGCCAGGTAAACACAACATACAAAGTATCTCGAACCGTTTTGGCAGTTTTAGGCAACACAAATGTAATAGCCGCCCGAAAATCGATAATCGACACTTTGACGTATAGACACAGAGTGGATACACTTAATGTAAACAATGATTTTCGGACGGAGGGCGCCGTCTTCTTAATTATCATTAGCATACATTTTTGTCTATATAAAGACAAAAATTGATGACAGGTTTTGTATAGGTACCTAGTCACTAGTCACTAGTGGTTAACTAAAAACAGTTAACTCTTACATGAAATTCGATTTTTTATCAATGCTGGAAAAACATTGAGTATATATGTAAATTATTGCAATGGTCCTTAGCTATTAATAGAGGTTAATTTTATACATTAAATGTACAAAATACTTGGTTGATTATTATTTGCTGGCTTACATAGAGTGCGAAATTATAGTCGATACCCGTAAGAAAACAATTTATATTACAAGGTAGTTATAATAATTAGTTATGGAGGTACTCTTAAATGATTCGTTTGAACACAAAAATTAAAAATCACAAAATAACCGTAAAAAGTTAATAAAAAAATCATTTTATTCAAAAATCGATCACTCTATTATTATTTAAACGGTGCAACGATAAAAACTACAGAAATCATTACTGTATTGGACACCGACCATTTCTAAGAAGTTTTGTATAGGAAATAATTTTATTGCGTACAAAATTACAAAATTGATTAATGGTTTGTGTGTAAAACAAATTAGTGTGCGTACCGTGCCTTTTATATCCGTGTTCGCACCACTCTTATCAGTATTTTTTTTAAATAAAGTAATGAAACTACTGTGTATGCGAGATGCGAATACAACCACCTGCTAAAAATATGTTATATTTTTTTATGAAATAGCTTTCCAAGGATGTAGATGAACCGTTTTTTATTACAGCTCATCAACTACGTCATGTTACAAAGAAGTAATTTGAGAGCTAAACTTGTGTAGTATTCATTTTTGTGTTAGTAATAAGTATTAAAAATTCCTATATGCCCAACATTACCTATAGAGACGTATAAATATTTTTCTAACAAAATACAGTTAAGCCAGAGGGCTGCGTCCTCCCGCCTGTGGTTAAGCTAAGTTAGAGAAATAATTTGAATATTCATAAAATACAGAAAAAGGATTTGACATATTGTTACTTTATTGCCTAGTGATACTTTTATTGTTTCATTCAGTACTGCTGCCCAATTTACAATGTACATATCAAATCTACATTATACTGAAATTGCGCCATTATAAAATTATATGATTTTTGATACTTCCTTTCAAGTTAAAACAAAAAAAATATTGAGTTCAAGCTTATCTATAAACTTTACGTTCTCTATGTTTACTATTATTTCCATACATGTGCATTAAACCCTTGTGTGCGATAATTATTATTTAAAAGTATTAAAAATACTAAAGATTTTTTATTTATAGGCAATAAGCACGTATAGAAAATTAAAAACAAATTAAACACAATTAAGGTTTTTCTGACAACCTTAAAAAATTCTCGGAAAATCCCAAATAAATCAGATTTTAGTATTTAGTTTTTCAAAACACATTTTATCAAGATAATAAGTCGGTTATGAGTTTAGACGTTACGTTTTCCTGGTACTTATTGTTAGTAAACCCGTATGTATTTATGTAAAAAATATTTCTTACAAACAAAATCTAATAGATATTGTAAAATGACACATCTCTAAAACCAATAACTACAAAATTATAATAATTATACTGAGAAAAAATTAGTATCTTGCGTTATTTTAATCACTTTTTATATTATATATTATGATTGTGCTAAATTGAATATGATGGTTTTATTAAACGTTTAGATGCTTGTTTTTTAATAATAAAAAATAAATTTAACAACTTAAAAACGATCAAATTTGAGTATATTTCGTTTTATTTAGTTTTTTTTAACATATAAATAATGTGATTAAAAAAAATATGTACATTAGTATCAAAATATTAAGCCCATATATTAATTATTGCTTCACTTGTAAGTAAAATGGCCTAAAAATAATAGAGTACCATAGCTTTGTTTTTTATTTTTCGATATAGCAAGTATATCAACCGATTGTGTTAACTTTTAAGTACCGTTTAATATCAGTTCAGAATAATATCAAAACTGTTTAAAACTAATTTTTGAAAATTACATTTCAAATGTTCTAAGTTTTGGTACATGTAAATCATCAACTGAAACAAATGTTCCATTGTTCCCACCCTCGGTGGTACTTAAAACTCGTGTTACTGGTGTTGCAGGTCTTGCGGTGAAGAGGAAGAAGAGGGCGGCGACGATGACGAAGAAGGATCTGGAAGTGGCGGTGGCAACGGCGAAGAAGAAGGTGGTGCTTCCATACACGTGAGTCCATATTACTCAAAGGGCCCTTATAACATTGGCAAGTCGGGAAGCATGTGGGAAGTTTAATATTAGGCTGTTTTGTACATGGCTAATGTGCTTACGTAGAACTTCCCATAATCTACCCATCTTTCCGGTGCTATAAGGGGTTGTACTATGAGCCGTGCAACGTGCTAACGTGTGTTATTGTATAGGAACAAGAGATGGAAAAACAGAAACTATTGTTTCACCAAGCGCGACTGGCTAACCGCGGGGTCGCCGAGATGGTGTTGTTGCACATATCCGCTTGCAAAGGCATACCTAGCGAAATGGTTATGAAGACCCTACAGCTAGGCATAGCCATCCTACGTGGTGGCAACTTGGAAATTCAAATGGTAAATAAACGTTTGTCACTGCACACAGTGGTCAGACACGGGGAAGGGGGGGGGGTCAGATTTGGGCATTTAATCTAATGATTTACACAGCCGTATCCAAGTTGGGAAAACTGATTCACCCTAAAGCAAAATCCATATCTACTAAATTAGCAGTTACTGTGAGGTATCATCGGTTGGATTTTAGAAAAGGTCTGACAAAGTATTGGTTTAACACGATGAGTTTTTTTTTTAATTTCTGATACAAAGGTAATAAATGTCAATGGTTAACTGAAATGACGCCACCACTTCCAGTCCTCTTTTTTTATATACAGGATGGTAAAATTATACACAAAAACAACATTTCAATTTTAGCAATTATCGCCATTTACATGTCTGATATCCTGTCCTGAGTTATTACAGTCATTGTATTTTCATGTTCCTCAATATAATTCACGCTATTGTCCCACCTTTGAAATTCCTTTCCATCGTACATCCTACGGTTCCAATAATCCCCTTGACCGTATAGCCAGATAGTGCAGCGTGATGAAAAATTTTAATTTATTTAATATTAGAGATTTGTATTCTACAAAAAAATGATTTTTCAGCCAGTTAGTGTTATCTAGGTCTTTTTATTATGTTTATTTTATTAGTTTCTTATTATATTTTTTCTTTTTGTTGCACTTGATTTATACTTAAATTCCAATTCAAATCTTGTTTTTAAATTATTATCTTGTATTTAAGCTAAGATTATTATTGTACTTGAGCCCTCTGGCGTTTACCCAAATAAATAAATACCGAATGAAACAAATAAACTAGTCGACATAAAAAATTACACACGAATTGAATCCCCCTAGAATTTGGGGGTTCCGACCACTGTGGCGTCGTACAAAACTAACGGTATGGACGTTAATGATACGTTGTCTGTGGCGTAAAGGGCATGCTGAACCATCTAAAAGAAAAGAAAGACGTGGGATTCTTTACGTCGGTGGCCGGTTTGATGAACTCGTGTAGCGTTTTGGACCTGGACGCGTTCGAGAGGAACACCAAGGCCGAAGGGCTGGGCGTCGGATCCGAAGGGGCTGCTGGCGAAAAAAACATGCACGACGCCGAGTTCACGTGCACACTGTTCCGGTTCATTCAGCTGACTTGCGAGGGACACAACTTGGGTGGGCATCGCAGCAATTGATCACACCGACGCGATCGGATCCGAGTTAACGATTTTTTTTTAATTTAAATTTTGTTACCTATTTAGAATGGCAGAATTACTTGAGGACTCAGGCCGGCAACACGACCACGGTCAATGTGGTCATATGCACCGTCGACTACTTGCTCAGACTTCAGGTTTGTTGTAGCGCGCGCGCGCGCGCAAAAGCCAAGAGGCCCCTTTGTGATTTGTCTAATGCTATACGCCTCCCGTAGGAATCCATCATGGACTTTTATTGGCATTACTCCAGCAAAGAGCTCATCGACCCCGCGGGCAAGGCTAACTTCTTCAAAGCCATCGGAGTCGCCAGCCAGGTGTTCAACACCCTGTCCGAAGTCATCCAGGGACCGTGCACCCAAAACCAACAGGCTCTGGCCCATTCCCGGTTGTGGGACGCCGTCGGCGGTTTCTTGTTTTTGTTCTCGCACATGCAAGACAAACTGTCCAAACACTCCAGTCAAGTGGACCTGCTGAAAGAACTTTTGAACCTGCAAAAGGACATGATCACCATGATGCTGTCCATGTTAGAAGGTAAATACTGTTGTTGTTGTCGACGAGTTTTGTTTTTTTATCGTACATGTTACATGCTTGCAGGAAACGTCGTCAACGGAACTATCGGCAAACAAATGGTCGACACGCTCGTGGAATCCGCATCAAACGTCGAGGTTAGTTGCATTTGTTCAGGGAAAAGTTGTACTGTTAAAATATGTTAATGTAAAAATCGTTTATTAGGTATAGGCAGAGTTGGTCATTTTGTATTCAAGTTAAAAAATACAATTTAACTCGATAAATAACCATTTAGGTCGTGCCATAAAGTTTATTTTCAAATCATGATTATTTCAATCTAATAATAACAATTTTATTTAGTCACGATGAAAAATTTAACTATTGTATAAAAAAAATTAGCCAAAAACTAACTTTTTTGTAAGTACATACGAATAAAGTTATTAGTGACTTAAGAAATAATTATTGTGCGATTTAATAATATTATTTATGATTTTATTTACCTTAAAAAACTTAAATAGGACTGATGTCTAGGCATTTATAATATTTATAAAGCGTTCGCCTAATTTTTCAATGAATAATAACATTTAAATTAAAAAACTGAGTGAGGCATGTTTTCGTAGCATTACATTTTTTTTTAATTGGATGGAGATAAAATATTTAAAAATAAGAAATTTTTATTTAAAGTGTTTTTTTTATATGTCCCCTAAAACTACTAACAATTATGATAAAAAAAAATAACTATGTAAAATAGTTTAATTTATCACTTATAATAGTTAATTTAATAATTATTTGAATGGTTATTCACAATAATACAAACAATCTACTTTTGTTTAAAAAATTATTTAAATAAAATATGTTTAAATAATGTCCAACTCTGTCCAACAGGACAGTTTTGGTTTTATGAGTTTCCCAATGATTTTAAAATGTGCTAAAACAACTATTGTCAAATCATATTTGACCAAGAAATCAACATTAGTAACAAAATTATTATTTCAATAATAATTCATAAATATTAAAACTAAAATTAACATGAGTGTATCTAGAAATGAAAAAAGAGGGCTGGAAAAAAATTCATATGGTTAAAATTTGCATTGTAATAAAATTACATATTCTAATAATATATTGTATCATAAGAAAAAATAAACATAAAAATACAATTTTAGTACAATCAATTTAGGTATATTAAGCAGAGTCTTCAGCCTACATAGTCCCCCTTCCCTATTTATATCTACCTTTGGATATTAATAATGGTCTGAGATCCAATGTTTTAGTAGGTCTTGAACTTCGAGTGACTTAACTTTTATATTAAACAGAACAAATGACCAAACTTACTAATGTCTGACTACTCAACAACGTTTGTTTGGGTTAAATACGGTTTTGTATAAAATTACAATGGTTGCAACATAATTTATTTAGAACTCTACATAATATATGAAATATATAATTTTCCGAGACTGAAACGTTTTGATTGTAATAAAATTAACGAATAATTATTGTTTTTATTTGTTACAGTTGATATTGAAATACTTCGACATGTTCTTGAAACTCAAAGATTTGACCAGTTCTACTAGTTTTGCTGTAAATGCCCATTAAGATTTATTGATGATATCTTATAATAATAAATGTATATATATATTATTTTTTAATATACACAGGAAATAGACGCGAACAACGACGGTTGGGTGCATCCGAAAGACTTTAAAGAAAAAATGGAGCAGCAAAAAAGTTACACTGCGTACGACGTTTGACTTAACTAATTCTTAACTTCAATTTTATTGTCGTATTAACTCTTCAACTGTGTCGATAGTTCTCCCTCAGAGCCGTTTAATTTAACATGTATTTCCACAGGGAAGAAATCGAGTTCATGTTGCAATGCTGCGAGTCCAACCACGACGGCAAGATTGACTACATCGGTTTCACCGATCAGTTCCACGAACCGGCCAAGGAGATAGGTTTCAACCTTGCCGTGCTGTTGACCAACCTGTCGGAGCACATGCCCAACGAGCCCAGGTCCTTATTTGAATTAAATACTGATTGTCCACTTAGCAACCGCCATGCCCGCATAAGGTATACTTACCCGTGTGAGTGCGTTTGTCCAACAGGTTGACTAGGTTCTTGGAGACGGCCAGCAGCGTGCTCAACTACTTCCAACCGTTCCTGGGCAGGATAGAAATACTGGGCGGCAGCAAACGCATCGAACGAGTGTACTTTGAGATCAAAGAGTCCAACATCGAGCAATGGCTGAAACCGCAGATTAGGGTAATAAATACTTCACTGTACAATAAAATATTACCCCCTCCTTTTTTTTTTGCAACAAGAACCGATTAAATATATTTTTTCAACTGCCTCCAGAGTTATAACCAGCTCAAAAAAAACATAAACTTAAAATGTCTAATTTCCTTTTGTGCTGAAGAAAAAAATAGACTTCAGGAGGCATTCATTTGGGGGGGGGGGAATTCCATATTTATTGTACCTACATTAGGAAGATGCCACGACGCGGCGCGTTTACTGTCTCGTTCTGCAAACATAGCAAAATTATGTTACTTAGAACTTAAACTGTAGTGTTTAGGTTGAAATTAGAGTTTAAACACAAATGACAACATTAAAAGAGGATAATATTTTCGAGAACACGTTGCTATTCTTCTAAATTATTGTCAAACAAAAAAAGTTACAGCTTTTTAAAAAAACAAAAACTTACACGTTTTTACTAACGTTTTTATTTAAAATTTAATAATTTGGTTTAAATTTATAATTTGCCCACTAAATAATATATAATACATCAATTAATTATAATAATATACATATTTATTATGCTTTAATGATTTATGAACGTGGCCATTTTAACACCAGAACTAATTCTATGGATTTGATAAATAATAAGATACAATTATTAATAAAAAAGGTATTATATTGACTTGGTCAGTCTAAAAATAATTAAGGAGTGTAGCTCCCCATACTCTCAGACCGCACCTAGATATATTTATTCTGATAAAATTATACATTCAAATATTCATACATACTCGTACAAAGTTTTCTTCATTAATATGAAAATGTTTAAGAACAGTATCCATGAAATTGATAAAAAAATTCGTATAAAATAAATCACTCATATACCTAGTATATAAGCTTAAGTATAAATTATGTTTAGAGTAGTAATGTGAAAACGATTGAAACAAGTCAGTCATATGAACGTTAATTTACACTTATATAAAATATCAAAAAATAATCTTTAGCGATAATTACATTAGTCCAATTTGATAAAATATATTGAATTTCCACTGTTTTGGATTAAAAAAAAAAACAGATTAAAAACGAATTGTAAAGAAAAAATACAATGAAAAAACGATATACTTGAAAGCAATAATTTCATTCACATTTTCAGAGACTATAAACGTTGTATTTTTTTTTGTGATTGTTTGGATAACCGAAAAAAATACTAACGTCTTTATATTCATCATAATTTTATTTTATTATCAAAAAAGTTTCGATTTTTTCCCGTTTCTGAATAAAAGTTACAACAACAAAAATTGTTTATTCATTGCAACCATTTTAACCTATCAAAATGATATGGTAATTCAACAAAATTATAAACACATGTATAATTTTTTTTCATTTTTTATTATGATTAACGTTTGGTGTTTGTTTTGTAAAGTTAAAATTGTTGTTTTTCAAACGTTTTTGTTACTTTTTTAAAAACGTTCTAATATCCTATATTATATTTTATGACCAACTATAAACCGAGTGTGCTTACACAAATGGATAGACATATTTGACAAAATTATACTGTACAACTTTCAACCACAATATGGCATTTTTTCAAAACATAATTTCAAGCCTATTATAGTCCTTTTACAGTGCTTTTATAAAATATAATAATGCGTTTGTTTCTGTAAACCTGTCAGGAATCTAAACGTGCCTTCTTCTATTCCATCGTCACCGAGGGTGGCGACAAAGAGAAACTCGAAGCCTTTGTCAACTTCTGCGAGGACGCCATATTCGAAATGCAACATGCAAGCGGTCTGATGGCTGTCGACGACGGTTCCGGAATTGGCGGTGGCAAGTGCAGGAAGACCGCATACACTTATATGGCCGACGATGATGAAAACAAGTAAAAGCAAACCCTTTTATAGAAGAAAAAAAAACTTGACTATTCCATTTAGACCACAGAGTAAAAATAAGTAGATGTGTAACATCATAATATAATGCCCTGTACTCGGCAACGAAGTAACAAAAAAGGCGAGCGACAGTGTGACCACTTAAAGTGAAAATAAATGATTTTTTTTTAAAGTTGGTAAACCTTACATGGTAGTATAATCCTTATCGACTATACAAATCGATAGATAATTTCAAATTCCGTAATGTATTTTTATAGTAATTTTTTTTTGGTTATTATTAGTATTTTAAAGTTTTCCTGACTTGGTCGTATAAACTTGGAGCTAAATTACATATATTTTTTTAGCGGTTTTAAATAAGATTCATTTTGCTATTTGCAAAAAAAAAACGTACAGGTCGTTGACGTTACAATACATAACGCAAACTACTAAACCTTGTGCTTTTTAAATGGGTTCTTAATTATTTTCCATTTTTTCGCCCATAATTCTATACTGTTGAGTCTAAGCTTCAACGTCATTGTGACCCTCTCTGATTTATTCTAACACAAGTAAGTACAACAAGTCGAGATTTAGAGTCCAGATTACAGCGACCATTTCCCTGGGATAAACAAGCTAATACTTGATTTACAAAAAAAAAAGCTTACAAGCTATGAACAATATTAATTGCCATTGTTGTTGGTTCGTTACAGCACTGCCAAAGATCCCGTCAGGAGAGGCATTCAGACGGTCAAAGACGGTTTCCGGATGCTGTTTTTCGCGTTATCGCCGAGCAACATAAAAAACAAAGTAGACGAAATGCAACGGATGACAACGGTCGAACTGATCACAGCATTTTTCAAACTGTGGTTTTACCTGATGTTCTACACCGGCTACAGTGGATTTTACGTGTTGAGGTACTTTTGCATTATACGGTGTGGTACATGTCTGTTGTAAGACAGATCTCATTTTCTCAGACATATTTTACTATGTTTTTCAACGCGTTAAAATGTTTATTTCCGGCCCTTATACCTACGTAAAACATGTTTGGAAACATATGTTTTTAATTCCATTAATATGTAAACGAACATTTTTCAACAAATTTTTCAACCGAAAGAATATTGATTTGAAATTCCAAATCTTTACAATGTCATAGGTAGCAAACAATGCAATTGATTAAAATTAAAACCTAAAACGCTAACATTTTTTTTTTTAATTTTCTATCTACATAATATTTATGGAATAATTAAAAACATATTATGTTCCCATTTGAAACGAAGTTCATACTTCTTTTACGGATAAGCGATAAAGGTTAACAATTTCTAAGTATTGAAAAATATAATAAAACTATGTACCTATAAATATGGGAAAAAATGAACTTAAAAATATTCATATTTTCACCCTGTATACCTAACTATAATAATCAATTCTATAGTATAATATTATACACCTACTCACCCAATGATGTTTACATATTATATTCATTGAAAGATTAGTCAGGTAACTGATGTACTTAACTACAGTCTGTTCGTGACATATAAAATATTGTATTTGTTCAATGTCAGAATTTATTTGGATTTCTTTTAATTTTCCCCGCAATTTTAGGATTTACTAAAACAAAGCTAAACTAAAAAAAATAATGTTGGTATCTTTTTTCAAGAAAAAACATCAAAGTGATGATTTAATTTTATTTAAGCTACAATTAATTAATTTATAATCGTGTGTTATTTTATTTTGGGTCTGAAGTCACGACACCTTTTTTTGGGGGTTTTTTTGAAAATCCTTGGCACGATTTTAGGATTTAAGAGCTAAAAATTAGTCTGAAGATAATATTATGTTTAATCTATACCTGTAACATGTATAAAAATAGAACTGATCGACTCACCCTAATCGTCTCTACCCTATTTTATGATCAATAGACTATACATATAGCTACTTAAAGAAATTCATTCGCCGGTTAAAAAAGTATCGTGCGTGCAGACACTAAAAAATAAACACACAATTTTCCTTCTCAGCTTTACATCGAAATCTAAAAACGAATAAGTCCGTTTTATTTTAAACAAACTTGTCCTACACGATCAATCAACATCTTTATCGGTTTGGTTTCATTTACCAACAGCTAAAAATTCCTTTTTATTGATCACTATTTTCATTATTATTACATCCCTTAGCAATCAGTGGCGGTTTTCCGCGTCGAGCAGGAATAGGCTTTGAGGAAATAACCTGGAGACGAGACTGTGCTTTTGTTGTGTGTATATTATCTAGTTTATCTAATATGCTTCCAGGTATGTGTCACGGATTCTCATGCATCTCATGAGCGGCGGTACTCAGTCGGAAGAGACCGCGGTAGAAGTAGTGGAAGAGAAGAGCGGATCGTTCAGGATGTTACCGGCGTTACCGTCTACCGGATCTGAAGAATCGCAACTTCTGGCTCTGACTTCCGGACCGGACGGCGTCGACTCGTGAGTGTCGCAAAATATATATCTCTAAATATTGATTGCATAAATTGCATAAAGACTTCGTTTCCGGCATCGGACACAGAATTAAACACAGAGCAAACTTGCGGTTTAACTGATTTGATTGAAATGAAGGGCACTGTGGAAAAACGGTAGTAGTCACGTTATGAACAATTTTTTTTTTCAAATAGTTTTTTTCAATTCATGTCAATATTTTTTTCAATTCATTTCAATAGATTGTTTAAACAAATACATGTATTATTAGAGTAGCGTTTAATGTGATTTTTTTTTGTTCTTATGTAAGAGGTAGAGTAATTCACCAACTTATTGTTTCTGCTATACTCTAAAGTGTTCACAACTACCGTTTTTCTCCTGTGCCCTTCAAATGTTACACTCGAACGATAAAGTTTGACCGAGTCAATCTTTCCTTGATCCACTAAAAAACATATTCGGTCGACCAAACTTGATTCGTGAGAACGCTAAAACTTGGACAGGCCAAATTATCATAATATATTTTGCGTTGGTCACAGGAAAAAAACGATTTCGCCTCAACAGGCCACAGCCGTGCAGGGTCAAGGAGACAAAGCCAAGGACGACCAGCAATTAAGTTTGACCGACAACAACACCGAAGACGGATCGCAGAAAACCGCGGACGACGGTCCGGACGGCCAACCGTCGTTCGTCGACTTGTTGGTGTAAGTATAGATAGCGGTTGCTTGTAGGAAGTTTGTCCAACGGTTATTGGTCTCAACGACAGTGCGCCGGTACTTGTGTTTCAGAGGCGAGACGGCCCGGAAAGACTCGATAGCCGGACCGGAAGTGTTGGCCCAACAACAGGCGGTCATGGCCGCCGTAGAAGCGGAAGTCAAGCAAAAGAACTCGGTCAACAACGCCAGCGCTTTTTCGCAGGTACAGCGGAGTGTAGTCTATTAGTGTTGGTTTGCTATTATTATTATTATTATTATTATTATTACTTGTATTGTCCAAAACTGATACAGATCGACATCAACGCGTACACTCACCGTGCGTTGAGTTTTCTGGCTCGAAACTTCTACAATCTCAAGTACGTGGCGTTGGTGTTGGCCTTCTGCATTAACTTTATACTGCTGTTCTACAAGGTAATGTAAAAAAAACGGGCGTAACACACTTACCGTGTTATCCTATTTTCCTACTCGGATTCGAGTTATATTGTTGCCAACGTACCTGTTTAAATATAATATCATAAATATACAATATTATACCTATTGGTATTTTGTACGTTCGACATTTATAGGTGTACAGGGTGATTCTTTTATCGTGGACCACTCAATATCGCATAGGGTTAAATAAGAAATTATAACCTAACCTAAATTTTTCCCGAGTTTTTTGGTTTTTACCCTACTTCCAATTTAGTTTTTTTGTTACTACACTGAACTCAAATGGCCCAAACGACATCCCTCGGGTACATTAAATTCAATGTTATCGGAAAAATTACCAAAAAACACCTATTTAATGTTAAATTTTCATTTTCTGACATCATTTTTGACAGATATAAACTTGTGGGTATAATGTTCGTGTTCAGCAGACTCCAAGCTATGAAACCATCAAAACTTCAACACAAACTAAAGAGTAGAAAAAAAGCTATGCAATGATTTGTGCACAAGTGTCGAAATCCTATGTTAAATCCCATTTAAACTCCAACCCTTGTGGGGGGGGGGGCACGGGTTAAAATTAATATTAAGGACCACTCTAGTGTATATCAATTCTATTGTAACGTTGCATATATTTTATGTATAATATATGAGGCGCTCAAATGCCAAACCGATTGACTCCATAAAATGAAATTTTTAAGTACAGGCAGAAGGAAAGTTATTTGAAACAATGTATGCAATATTCTTAGCGCGCTCTAGTGGTGAAAAATTCAACTATGGAGTTATTTATCTTGACCTTGTGAAAATTACACTCTTTTTTTAATCCAACCATGGTGTTATTCGCAATTTGAAAAAGAAATTGTGGAGTTAATCGGTTTGGCATCTGAGCGCCTCGTATGAAAATTATCACCAGTATTATGCGCATTACTTCCGGCTCTGTACAGGGGCGGGTTTTATCACTCACCAAGGGGGGGGGGGCTAATTGATGTTAAGCATATACCTAGCTGTATTTTAAATCCAATATCTAACAATCCAAAAATAGCTTGAAACCTAAATAATAATAATAATAATATTTCTTTATTACGGAAATAAATTCCAGTTACAAAATAACTTTTTTTTTCATACATATAAAGATTCATTATCAGTAATTTAAATGTAATAAAATAATAATAATAAAACAAATAGGTATCAATATCATACAATAAATCTAAATGTATAAAAGGAAAAACAAAATAAAATAAATAATAAAACAAATTCTAGTTATTTGCTATGTATTTCTTATTTAATGTTAAATATTCAAATATCCATAAACATTACATAACCATATTATTCTTCAACGACAAATCATAACACTTGAGGTGTAATAATTTCAGGTGACGACGCTGGCGGAAGATTTGTCGGCGGAAGACGCGGACGGCAAGACGCTGGCCTTGGGCACGGACGCCGAGGCGGAAAATGACGACGGTGCCGGGGCCGTGGAACTGGTGCACGTCGACCAGGACTTCTTCTACATGGCGCACGTGATGCGGCTGGCCGCCATGCTGCACTCGCTGGCGTCGCTGGCCATGCTCATAGCGTACTACCACCTGAAGGTGCCGCTGGCCATATTCAAACGGGAGAAGGAGATCGCCCGCCGGCTGGAGTTCGACGGTCTGTACATCGTGGAGCAGCCCGAGGACGACGACATCAAGTCGCACTGGGACAAACTGGTCATATCCGCCAAGTGAGTGCGGACAGACCGGTGGCGGGAGGAGGGTGGTACACTTGGCCTATAATCACAGATATCGTCCGTGGTTTTTTTTGATGACTGAGATTAGTGAAAAAAGACACGTGATAACGGCTTCTGCCGAGAGAATATTGATAAGAGACTCCTGATAAGCGACAGTTAGGTTTGGGCACAGGTATATCCAAAAATAAACTAGTTTCGCGGAATAGATAAAAGCAGAAGGGTCACTTTTAATGTAAACAAAAACGTGACGGCCATGTTGAAAAGGCCGTCATTGACCGTACCCTTACCTTTTCATATCTATCGATTACTATCAGTTTAAAATATTGATATTACGGTTTGTATTTTATAAAATATATTTGTTGAAATTAGTTATAACTTACATTTTTTAATTGGTTATACGCATTAAAACCTCTTAAAGCAATTTTTCTAGTCATTAAATCAATAATTGTTTTGACTTTGGTATACAAATTGTATTCTACTTTTAATTTTACGAAAATGGTCACACTGCGACGCTCTCTAAGACTATGGCCGTTACGTTTTTATGTGATAAGTATCTTCCCCGCGTTAATTTTTATCAGTTTCCGGGGCCTGCTAGTTTGCTAACTAGTGATAAGAATTAAAGTGGACATCCGCCATTTTTGTGGGATTTGTGTGTGATATATATATATATATAACTGTGATTCTGTGTTACCAACCTAACTTATAATAATTGAATAGGTCATTTTAAAAACGATATAAGTGATAAAATTGAAATTTCTCACTAACCACAAACAATTTCATTACTAGCAGAAATTCAACTTATTTTGCACTTACACCTATTTACTAATTTATTTTTAGGATTTCCGATACTCATAATCCGTAGTTTTAAATAGTTTGACTATGGCCATAATTCATTAAATTGAGATAAGACATAATTGACTTGCGTTGTTTTTGCAGAGAATAGAAATGTAACTTATAAAAATTAGAGGCCAAGATATAAAATAAATCAACACAGAAATGTTATTAATATTATTGCACAAAATGGTATTATTTTATATAATAAAATGAAATAAATGTAGTTTTTACACGGAATACGTAGCCGCGTTACTATATAATTATCAAATTTGACAAAGTCATTTTTAAAAAATCGGTGGCTGTCGTTTTTGAAATGGCCTTTTTGACAATTATTGTTATAAACTTATTTTCACGTGATAAGGTTCTAATTTCCACAAATATGGCGGAAAATGATAACTTCAATTATTATCTCTAATAGCGGCCTGTACAATTATCAATCTTAGTTTATTAAATATATATCTGCGCCTAAAATATATACGCATTTTGAAAGTTTACCTCTACTTCGTGTACTTTTAACATGGACATGTTAATTGGAATGGATACAAGAAATTTCATATCGCCATTTTTGCGTTACACTTTCGCCGACGTTAAGAGATAAGAAACGCGTGATAAGAGATAACATATTCATGACGACCGATGTTTCCAGGTCGTTCCCGGTCAATTACTGGGACAAGTTCACCAAGAAAAAGGTCCGGCAAAAGTACAGCGAGACGTACGACTTTGATTCCATCAGCAACTTGTTGGGCATGGAAAAGACTTCGTTTAGCACCGACACGGGTAGCGAAGAGGGAACCGGACTTATTAACTTGTAAGTATATGAGTAAGTTTAAAATAGAAATTACAAAAAACTATTTTCGGTTTTCTTGTCGACCAAAACCGCGACACAGCTGCGAGTTGATTCCTTTTGCGTAGACGATTTTTGAACATTTTTTGGTACTAAACGAGGTTTTCATTTTCTTATTCTCCACTTCACTTGTAAACGCCTTTTCTTTTACAGCATTGTCAACATCGACTGGAGGTATCAGGTGTGGAAAGCCGGGGTTACCATAACGGACAATGTAAGCTGAGGCGACTGAGCTCGGCCAAGCCGTGTGTTTTTCTTTAACCTGTATACGATGCGTTTCTTTTAGTCGTTCCTGTACAGCTTGTGGTACTTTACATTTTCGATTTTGGGCAATTTCAACAACTTCTTCTTCGCCGCTCACTTGCTGGACGTGGCCGTCGGTTTCAAGACGCTCCGGACAATCTTGCAATCGGTCACGCACAACGGCAAACAGGTAAAGCCCAAGACGATTGTCGTGGAATTATTATTATGACCATAGGGGTGGAGACCAGAGGAAGAGGAGGAGGCTTAACCCCTCGAAATACAATTTTTATGTTGGTCATTTTGATTCAAATTGCTGCATGTCTGAAATAATGGGCTTGAATGATAAAGAGGATGTTTCGAATTACTGCCACTAGATGTCTCTCTAACATTGGCAAACAAGTTCTGCCACGTTTTAAAGAAGCTTGTCGGTGAACCGGAACGATTAAAGTACGGATAAGGACTTCGTTGTTGTTGTTCTGGCAACAATCTGGCTTCATATTGAAAATGATTTGTACAAATGTATCGATGAACACTTTTTCACTAAAAAAAAAAAAATCAATATCATCTTAGATTAGATCTTAGACCCACCTTTGACGCTGGGTTTTTTATCCAATTAATAGCTACCATTAACAGTGTGTGTGTGTATTATATTGTATTTATGTTTGTTCTTATTTTAGTTTATATACAATTATATTTGAACTATGTTATTTTCGAGCTGAAACTGTTAAGTCCTCCCCTCTATTATTTTTTACCAGGATATCCGCCTAGGATTTTGACTCTCTCTCTCTCTCTCTCTCTGCCACAAACCTCTAATTGGGATTGTTTCAATTTTAATATTTTCTCTTTTTTTTTTTGCTAACCGCAGTTGGTGTTGACCGTGATGTTGCTCACCATCATCGTTTACATCTACACCGTGATCGCGTTCAATTTCTTCCGGAAGTTCTACGTGCAAGAGGAAGACGACCAGGTGGACAAAAAGTGTCACGACATGTTAACGGTAACGATACAATATTATGGCAGCGGTCACACTGATGCTGCTGCTGCTCACGTTGGGCAACACTGTGTTTTCAACGTTTATCTGTTTTAGTGCTTCGTTTTTCACTTGTACAAAGGAGTCAGAGCCGGCGGAGGTATAGGAGACGAGATAGGTTCGCCCGACGGTGACGACTACGAGGTGTACAGGATAATGTTCGACATAACTTTCTTCTTCTTCGTCATCGTCATCTTGCTGGCCATCATTCAGGGTGAGGCCGCATAAGATAATTGCAAATATTTGTGCAGATTTTTCAGAACATATGTTATAGCCCCCCCCCCCCCGTTCTAGATCTACCTTGGGTCTAATTTTCAGACCTCAAGCTATGCATGAAAAAGATATAATAAAAAAAAAAAGTTTCCATGCCTTCTAGGGAAAAGGGTTTATGTTATATTTGTTTGTTTTGCCGACGTTTATTGATAGTGCTGTGTCTAAAGAATATCCCATACAAATTTGGAACTAATTCGACCATTTCCTAAAAGTTAATGCGTAAACAGATTAAAATGTAAAATTAATTAAATTACTGGAGTAAGTTTGTTGAGTTCCTGTTCAATTCAATGACTTATGTCGTTTTTGAAATGACCATTTCACGTATTATATGCAACGAATCGTCACAACGGATATATATTATATATATATATATTTTTTTTAGACACTAAACTTGTGTCAAAATTTCGTTTTAAGTCACTATTTTTGAAATTACCTATTTTTGTAGCTTTGTAAACCTGGTTTCAAATAAATTGTATGTGTAGATTTTTTATTTTAATCTTGACCGAGTAGATTTATGAATATAATATTTATATAGAGTCTCCACTTGACTTCACGCTAAGTAAAATAGACCAAAAGTGTACAACCTCTGCACTATTTAGACACAGTATATTTTTATAGTTTGGTCTATTGAAAATATCGGTCACCGTTGTCACTTACTCGTTCCAATTATAAACAACAATTTTTTATTTAAATATATTGAGCCGTTTGAATGGTAAAAATATTTGACTCAAAATCGCTACACTTACACATGGCCCGGTATAGGAGCTACTACGGCTCTGTAAATACAATCTACCCACACAAAGTAATACCCCCAAAAATCTTAGCCCCAATTGATATTTTAGTATTTTTTAAAAAGTATTTGCTAGTTTTTTAATTATACGTCTGGTTAAATAACATTACTGTTTTAGGTGAACCGTCAAGTTGGGCCTGAGCCAACTTTTGGCGATAATTCGATTAATTGTGTACATTTTTTCCCCCTCAGGTTTGATCATCGACGCTTTCGGTGAGCTCCGTGACCAACTGGAGAGCGTCAAGGAAGACATGGAGTCAAATTGCTTCATATGCGGCATAGGCAAGGATTACTTCGACAAAGTTCCACATGGGTTCGACACGCACGTCCAACAGGAACACAACTTGGCCAATTACATGTGAGTACAAACAATGAGGATCTAGAAGTACAAGTCCTCGGCAGATATGCAGGCACGGTGCCAGAATTTTTTTCCTAGGGGGGCGGGAAAGGTCAAGTGAATTTTTTGGAGGGGCAAGCACAATAATTTTACCTACTTCTGTCAATAAAAAACAATTATAATGATTTATCAGTGAACGACTTTAATATTTATCAGTGAAATAGTATAAAATATGAATTTATTACAGATTAAGGGACAATATATACTAGTGTACAATTTAAGTAAGGCAACTTTTTTAAATAAGCGTTATTTTTACCTGTCGGCCATCATATAGCTCTTATTGTACTCTATGAAAGTCGAAGTAAAAACGAAGGCTTATAAAACGCCCAAAATCCAGTCAGTGGAGATTATAGTTATCGCGTTATACCTACATTCTATTAAACCAAAACAATCCGTCAATAAACACTGAATTTTTGGAAAACACACACACACAAACGTAAATATTATAATTATATATATACATATATACACCAAAACACATAATTATATGGGCGACGGATTATTGATAACCGATTGCAAAAACACTCAAAATATTTAGATAAAAAAAGGCCACATTTATTGGCAATGTCATAACTAATAACTAAATTTGTATAGATAAACAGGTTTAAATCAAAACAACAATTTTTTTCACAATTTCCGTAATAACTAAATTTGTATGTATAAAAATACAGTTATTCAAAATCTGGGTCTTAGGAATAATAATCAAATATTTAAAATTATACTATTCAGCAAAATAGGATGGGGGGCGAGAGAAGGGCAAGAATTTGTTATGAGGGGGCGACCGCCCACCCTCGCCGCCCCTTGGCGCCGTCCCTGCAGATATGTCATTAAACCGACTCCTGGACTTTAAATCCAAAAAATGTCTATCAATTGCAGGGGAAAAGGGTTAATACTGTTCAATAGAGTGCTAGGTCCTAAGAATACTCCAAACATATTTTGTAATTAAATTCCATTAATTTCCGGTCATTATAGTCCGCCTTAATATCGAGTTGAAAAATGAGTACACCTTTGAATTAAGTACTTCTCAATTTTTCAAAGGAAAAGGATGGCAAAGTATTGGAAATAAACGATAGTGATATTTTTCATTGTAACAACAATGTCAATTATAAATTGTTATACATTTTTCACCTCTGTTTTATGTTAAATGAAACGTTGGGCTTCTATCCTACCTGTAAAAAGTTTTCTCCTTTCAAATAAAAAAAAAAAATGACAAAAATCCGACTTGTCTCCAATGCGTGAGAGTTTTTCATTTTGTTCATTTAAATCACTGTCCATGATGCTGTGATAGTCCGAAAAATAAATTAACTGCCAAAATAGAGTCCTAATTACTGAACTAATTCATACACATCACAGTTTAACCTAAAAAATTTTTTTTTCGGCACCGACATTTTTAGTATAAAATATCAGATATCGCTAAAACCGATTATTTTTAGTCTTTTACAAAAAAAAAAAAAACCATTTATTTGAATTTATATGTTTGTTAGTAGTTTGGAAAAAAAAATAAAAATTATAATACCTAATGTTTGTACTACAATAGTAGTTGTATAACATATTGTCAGGTTTATTCAGCGTTTATTTGTTTTGATAGAAGTGTACACTTATCTCATATTATATTTTATAGAATATATTCTACACAAAAACGTTGTAACTTTTTAATTAAACTGTTATTTTAATTAATAATCATTATAAATAGGTTATTCGAAATCCGGAAATGGTCGATTTTTCGTCCTCGATTTCGTAACGCCCTTTCAATATTCAGATTCGGATCGGTTTTCCATAATTTAGTTTCTTAAATTCATATATATATTTTTTTTTACTAAATCATTGTATTAAGTCGATACCCGTTTTTTTTACATTTGCCTTTTGTGTGTTCAGGTTTTTCCTGATGCACCTGATCAACAAACCGGACACAGAGTACACCGGCCAGGAGACTTATGTGTGGAACATGTACCAGCAGCGGTGCTGGGACTTCTTCCCCGTGGGAGACTGTTTCCGCAAACAGTACGAAGAGGAACTGGGAGGCGGCGGCGGTGTCTAATAATAATAATAATATTTATTTAGCAACTCATTAAGATGTTTAATTTTAATATCGTGTTATGTATGTAACGTGTGATGCTAGTGTGTGTGTGTGTGTGAGTGGTCACATGTGTGATGACCGCCCCTTTTCAAATGTAGACTGCGCTTGCCTATATATATATATATATATTATTATAAATATTTCCTATGACGTGTTAAGTCGATTATATTTATTATAATATATAATATTATTATGTAAAAAGATTCGTTTTTTATGTCTGTTTTGTTTACACACAAACTACTCCCAACGATTGGGTTAGGTTCCTCGTCAAAAACTGTGTAGTTTTTTCCGGCGATTTTCACTTAGCTACACTTGGAATGTTTTTTAAAATGAAAACTTATATATATATATATATTCGAACAATGTTGGCTCTCTCGACTGGATTTTTGTGTGGGTGTCTACTGATAATTAGTATTTATTAATTACTATTATTTTCGATTGCTTTTGTTATCAAAATTTATACTGTCACACTTTTATCTTTAACTCGAGTGAGAACACTGAACGACTCGATTTTTTCCTGTTGTTCTATTTATACATATTTTTTCCAAAAGCTATAAATCACTCTTTTCTCCACCTCCAAATAAAAAATTCTATAATCTAATTATATATCCCCAAATTATTTTTTTCACTTACTATTCCGCCTATTAAATTAGTTTGTGTAATTTTATTTATTTGTTTACTATAAAAATATTGGCACTGAGATCAAAAGTAAGTTATCACTTAAAAGTAAATTGAAACAATTTGTATTTAAAAAAAAACCAACATCGAAGCTAAAATAAATGATACTTTTCGTAGTTAAACAAGTTCATTTTATCTTTTGGAAAAATTTCTAACAGTCTCAAAAATGTGTTTTATAAAGTGAGAATTGTGCAAAATATACACAATTATTAGTGTTGCAATTAAAAATATATCTTAAGTTTAAAAAATATTACATGAATTAAATGAAAATTGTTGCGTTGACGTCACTTATATTTTCTTTTGTTTACTAGCAAAGCAAAATTAATAATATTACAAGCAGAGAAAATTAATCGAATTACACATTTGAACAGACTACTTAAAGATTAAAATATAAAGATGAATTACAGTTTTAAGTGTTAAATGTGAAAAGACTCAATTTTTAGCTATTTTTTTTTATTCATATTTCTTTTTTAGAGCTAACCAATATTAACCTATTCTAATATACTAGCCAAATTATCTGTTCACTGTGTCATTCTTTCTTTTAACTAGTTGGTGTACATTTATTTGTTTATTTAAGTTTCAAATATTGACACTGAGTTCGTATAAAATAAAGAAATATGAATAAAAATGTTGCACATCAAAAATACACTTATGTAGTTTAATTAGTACTTTTTACCTGTTGAAAAACATATTTTAGCCATCTCATGTTAAACGTTCCACACCAAATCAAAGATAATGTCTTTGACAACAAACAACCCGTTTCAGATAATTAAAAATGCAATGGTTTTCAATTTGATCAAAATGTCAATCTTTTTAATCTTTACACCAATTAAAAAAATAAAAATTGGCTTAATTATGAATAAGATGATTTAAGATTTTTAGTATTTAAAAAAAAAACTCAAGATATGACAAGAAGACACTTGGAAGAAGAGTGCTGTCGATCCAAGTCCTCTACTTTTCAAAACATAATTTGTGCGTATTGAATAGAATTTATAGCTTTACTGTTTTAGACATATCAGGACGTTAATTTCAAATGTTGGTAATTACAAAATAGTTTTTATATTAAATTTAAAAATTATCTTTTTATCTGTAATGGATTCAATAGTTGTCAGAGTGAAACTAAAAAATACTATTGACATAGACAATTTTTTCTTTTTTAAATCAACTACTGTCAGTTATTTAATACAATATTGTAGTATAACTGATTTATAAGTTATACATTACTATAAGCGACGCGGTATCGTTAATTTTACATTTTAAACGAGTAGGAGGTGCCTTTAATATACAACTACGGAAAAAGTAACAGTTTAAAAATATATATTTCAATACACTTTCGAACAATTGTAATCGAGTTGTATATTTATCGTGTCAATAAAATACAAACTTACAATTATTGTTCCTCGTTTCTCTATCGATTTTATATATGGTACAAAATATTCCAAAGACGTTTGTGTATAGGTTACAACGTCTTTGGGGTTCCTTACCCTGCTCTCTCTCTCTGGCACACATAACTTTAATTCGCCGGTCTCACAGTCGTATACAATTTTTCGTTCTTCCCACAAATTGGCGCTTTTCCGGCAAAAGAAACGAGAGCGGTTGACCATTTTGTAGCCGGAAGAAGAATTTTAACTACTAGGGGCTTATGGTCGAGTACGATGCGGCCGCCAAAGGCTCGCCGGCGGCATTTCGACGGCGTCGCGGCCCGGTCGGCTCATAAGCCCCTGGTACACACAATAACCGTTTTGCTCGGATCCGGCCTCGCTTGGATCTCGCCAAGTCCCCGCGCTTGCGCATTTCCGTCTAAAAAACTATTGTGTACATATTTTACTACATTTTGCAAACATTTAAAAAAATGTTTGTTTCGCCAATCATTGTTAGCCAAAATGGGCGACAAAAAATTTAAAAACACGTTTGCGTTGGAATTTGTCATTTACGTTTATCTACTTCATTGGCCATTTACTTTTGGCCATGACTTTGTAAATATACTACATTTCCTCTTAATAATTATCATATATTTGGTAGCACATAACGAATTCATACTCATGTTCGGATTGTCCAAAATTGGCGATAACGTTCCGACAACTGGGAAGTCACTAAAAAAGATTTTGAAACAATGACAGACAAACGGTTCTCAGCTACAGATCATTTAGATTACACACTATTTGTTGTATCCGATTATGATGTAATAAAACTACTCGTCTAACGATTGAAAATATTAAGAAAATATACAGTCAAAATCGTTATAAAGTCAAAACAAATAAATGAAAATTTAAACGCTATTATATTTTTTTATTTTTTGTCTAATTTTCAAAATATTGAAAAAATGTAGTAAAAAATGTACCTGCAAGTTTAAGGGGAAAAAAATGCTCAAAATATTCATATTTTCTGAGTAAATGAGTGTCTTACGTTAGTTGGATCACAATGGTACTTATATTTTAGCTTCGATGCAAAGCGAGAAGGTATTGGTTTTACTCTGATGTGTGTTTTTTTTTTTATCTGTATACACTGTAACTTCTTTAATACTTGACCAATTCTTTCGAATAACAACTGTATAAATCGCAATTTTCATCTAGTTGGTACTTTGGGGGGGTAAAAGTTGAAAAAGTTTAACTCTTCACAGGCGAAAGTTGAAAAAACAAAAAAAAAAACCGTACGAGTTTTTAAGTTAGAACTTTTACTGGCTATAGCTTCGAGAAAAAGAGTCGGATCGAGTTGAAATTTATAAGAAATATTTATTTAGTATGCCCGCGCACGTCAGTTTAGTCAAATTCAAAATATACCCATTTCCCGCCCCCCTAGGGGGGGTACGAGTTTTTTTGTTTTTCGGGGTTTTCAGCCGTAGTTTTAAAACTTTTGGGTTGAAAATTTGCCAGTAGTTGGAACTCATATGTACCCATAACATATTAAACGGGAAAAAAATTCGGCAATACAGTTTTTTTTTAAATGCCGGGAAACTGTGTTTTCGCAGATTTCGTATATTTTAACAAAAACACCTAAAATCTTTAAAAAAAATTGATCAAATCATTAAAACAATTTGATTTATATCTATGCAGAATGATACTATTAGGTTTTGTGCTCAAGTACCACTCTTGACTTAAAGTTAGGTTAGGTTAAAATTTGATTATAACTATAGTAATAAATTAATACAATTTTAATATATAAAGATATTTTTTTGGTTTGTCAACGTTTTTCCGTTTACGTTGTATAGTACTTTATCCGAAGAATATTCCATAGAAATTTGGAACAAAATCGACTATTTTAAAAAAAGTAACATGTACATTTTTATGTGTTTTCCCAATTTTGAAGGGGAAGAAGTGAACTTTCAAAATTTTGCCCCAAGAAATAAACTTTTAGATTAGATTTAGATTTAGAACGGGAGGCACTTGTGACGGCCAACCCTTGTAGTCAGAACGATCGGCTGGTGGAAATAGTGATTGAATATTGTGAGAATAAACAATATAATCTCAACTATAATCGTTCATGCGTAGTTGCCGTTAAAATAGTGCAACTTTAATACAAATAACTCTATTATTGTTAGTTGTTACAATTCATAAATGTGAAACGTTTATAAAAATAGTTGAAAACATTTTGGTAAATATATTATTTTACTTATCAAATTAATCTGGATAGTTCATCATGACCCTCGGAGACAGTTTGGGATTAAAACTGTCATGGGTAGGAAAAATTCTGTTGCGGTGGCGTTTAATTTTACAAGTCAGTCACACGTTAGAAAACAGTATTTTATGGTGTTTAATTTTTTTTCCAAGACAGCCGCCAAAGGGTTAGAGATTTCTAATATATAAAGTAAATACATGAAGAAATCGGTTAACGGCATAGAAGATACGTCCAGACACAAAAAACAAAAATAAATACAATTAAAAACACATCATTGTAAAAACAATACCTTCTCAACTACGCACCGAAGCTAAAACAAAAATTGTTTTTCGGTAAAATATGCCGTTCTTAAAAATATAATACATAAGGACTCGTTTTAATCATCAAGACATAATATTAGGTAACTCACGGAGCATGATCTAACCTCTCTCTGGATAGTTTTTTTTTATTCAGCGAATTTAAATTCCCTTTATTCTTTATCCAGCGAGATAAGGGTTTTCTATACTTAGGTCAATACTTCCTAGTATACTTATTATTCATTATTATATGAAATATAAATCATATAAAATATGAATTGTGTGAGTATAAGACGACCTGACGATGGACAACATCAACAACGCTAGTCGAATACTCGAATGACTAAAATCTAAATTGTAGAAAAACGATCATTTTTACAATTCAGTATAAATTGCAATGCTCTGCCAATGATCCTCGTTTTAATAGTATTTTGTTATACACCGTACATGACAAAATATCTAAAAATAATATCCTCATCTGCAATTTGCAAATTTGCAAATTTCCGTTAATAATATTATTATTATTATTATTTATCATTTATATTATGAATGATATTAGAATTATTTGTTACTTCGTGACTAGGTCGTACTGTGTAGATTGCTATACTTAAA